CAAATTGGGGATGTGCTGCCGCCTCTGGGCTCTAAATTCAGACTTAAACTACCAACCACTCTGCTGCTGACACGAAGCCAGAAGGCTGAATGCAAAGGATTTAATGACTGGCTGGACACAAAGGGTCAAGAGAGCCCAGGGTTGCTACGACTCATTGATTAACCAGAGGGGTTGAAACAGCTGCCACAATGGAACACTAAAACAATGCACGCATACATTTCATCAGGATGGAATTCCGCTTTACCCTGAATAAAATCAAATTGTTTTCTTCCTTGACAATATTCCTGCCAACTCAGCAGAGCCCGAGCAGCAGCTCTCAGTGCACGTGGCAGAGTACAAAGTTTTAATGCGTGCTGCCCCGGCTATGTAGGGCAGCAAGACATGGAAACATAAATGATTAAGCTAAGAGAGAATTTTGTGCTTTGCTGAGCGAAAAAAAAAAAGCTCAGTTAAAAAAAAAAATGTTGGAAAGCCTGAGCTCTGGAAGGCGCGGTGAGATTTGACGAACAGAGATTTGACGAGGTACCGGCTCGATACTGAGGAGAAGGACGGCTGTTTGCAGGGCTTACACATCCCTGATCCCTGGAACAATGACCCTCTCTAAATCTGGCCGACTTCACCTAGGAATGAGAGGTTTCTCTCCGGTTTGGAGTAGAACTTAGAACCGATTTTGGCGACATTTTGTCCGATTCCAGCGCTCCCCCAGGTGCGGCCGCTTCCCTCGGCACGGACCCGCCCGCCCGCTGCCCTTGCTCCGCCTCCGGCCCGAGCGGCGGGGCCGGGCCCTGGCAGAGCTGCGGGGCCAGTGCCCGGTGCTGAACTTGGGTCACAGCAACCCCAGGCTGGGGGAAGGGTGCCTGGAAAGCTGCCCCGCGGAAAAGGACATGGGGGTGTTGGAGTGCTGGTCAACAGCTGGCTGAACATGAGCCAACATGTGGCCAGGTGGCCAGGAAGGCCAATGGCATCCTGGCTTGGATCAGGAATGATGTGACCAGCAGGACCAGGGCAGGGATTGTCCCCCTGTACTCAGCATTGATAGGGCCACACCTCGAGGGCTGTGTCCAGCTCTGGGCCCCTCAGTTCAGGGAGGGCATTGATTGAGGTGCTGGAAAGTGTCCAGAGACAAACAGCGAAGCCGGTGAAGGGTCTGGAACACCAGTCCCCTGCGGAGGGGCTGAGCAGTCGGGGTTGTCTCGCCTGGGGAAAAGGAGGCTCAGGGGGGACATTATCACTCGGTACAACCACCTGAAAGAAGGTTGTAGCCCGGTCGAGGTCAGAATCTTCTTCCTAGACAACTAATGATAGAAGAGAGGACATAGTCGCAAGATGCAGCAGTGAAGGTTCAGATTGGACATTCTGAGGAATTTCTTCACTGAAAGAGTGACTGGGCATTGAAATGGGCTGCCCAGGGAGGTGGTGGAGTCACCGTTCTCGGACGCATTTAAGGAAAAGTTGTATGTGGCACTTAGTGCCATGGTCTAGTTGACATGTTCGTTCATAGGTTGTAGCCGATGATCTCGGAGGTCTTTTCCAAGCCGGTTGACTTCGTGTTTCCATAGCTGAGCGGGCCCACTGCGGGCCTCCCCGCCGGCGTGCCCGGCAGGCGGCGCTCGCGGCGGCCAGGCGGCGCTCCGTCCCCGCGCGGCGCTCTGTGGCCGAGGGCTCGGCCGCTCAGTCCGCTCGGCGCGCGGCCCCGCCCCCCGCGGTCACACCACCCGCCCGGCCGGCGCTGCGTCAGCCCGGCAAGATGGAGACCGCCGAGGAAGGTACCGCGCTCGCCCCGCGACCGCCGCTGCCGCCGCCAGCCCGCGAGTGGGGGCTCTGCCGGGCAGCCTCGGAGGGTGGGGAGACGCGGGGGAGGAGGAGGCGGGTGTCACTGGGCCCGCTGGGCGGGCCGGGGGGCTGTGCACGCCCGGAGGGACTTCTCGTACCGGGGCTGCAGGTGCCCGGGCTCCGCGCCCCCCCCACCGTGCCGGGCCCGCCGTGCGGCGGGGGCCGGGCCGGGCCGGGCCGAGCCGAGGGGGTAGTGTGTGAGGCGGCGCGCGCGGGTGCCCCTTACATAACCATGGGGAACGGGGAGCGGGGGGGGAAAGGGAGGCGGTGCCGGCAGCGCTCGGAGCGGGGCTGGGATGGGCCGTACCGGGACACCTGGGCACTGCGGCCCGCCGGAACCTTGCGCTGGCCGCGGCTTCGCCTGGAGAAGAGAGAGCGCGGGGGCGAAACGAGACCCTGGGGCGGAAAGCCGCAAGCGGGGTGCGCACGCCGGGGCAGCGGGAGGGGCGGCGAGGAGGGCACTGCCCCCAGCTCCCTCCTGGCCGGCGGACCCTTTCGGACCCGGCCGGCCCTGCAGCCCAGGGCGTCTTAAATTTCCGCGTTTGGCTGAATAGTAATAGGTGCTCCTTTCGCAAAGCTGACTTTGTTATGTGCGCTGGGCAGCCTGTTTGAAAAATTGAAATATGCAGGAGTTGGCATGTTTCTCTGTCTCTTTTACAGCACAGTAATACATAGTCACTTCTCTTACTTAAAAAAAAAGAATTGTCAAAGATATCATTGTCACGGCGGGGGGGTTGTATGGGTATTTGTAAAGATATTGCTTTATTTGAGATCAAACACGGATATGTTTTGTCAGCACTTTCGTTATGCTTAGATAATCACAAAAGCACAGAATTGTGAATGTTAGAAGGGACCTCTGGAGTTCATCTATTCCAACCCCCCTGTTGGAGTAGACCCCTCAAGGCTGGGTCACCTAGAGCAGGTGACACAAGAATGTGTCCAGGTGGGTATTGAATGTCTCTGGAGAGGGACTAGGTAGTTCAAGCAGATACTGAAGAACTCTGATAGATCAGCACTTCATACTGTAGCAGAAACCAAACTAAATAAAGGATGTTTGTTGTGCTGTGTTTCTTGCAGTATTTGAGCTTTGTTTGTCATCTCAAACCATGAGTGCAAGTGCATATTGCAGTAGCAAGGCAGTTCCAAGGAAGGCATTTTGCATCTTGGCTTTTGTTACTTTGGCATCATTTTGAATGTAGCGTTTTATCAGGTGTCACTTGATTTTCCTGCTTGAGAGGATTAAAAAAAAAAAAGCTGGAAAAACATGAGCCACAGGATGAAATAAGACAGCACCTTTGTAGTAGTGCCCTTTGGGTTGTGCTGTAGACATCTTTAATATCCATGATCACTGATGTTTCTGAAATATTAGTGTTTCTTAAATCTAAGATTTAAAATTGCTTGCTGTAGCTCTGTAGACAAGTCACACCGATGAAATCAACAACAAAGTGAAACTTTGATCGCTTGTCCTCTGGTTGCCCAGAAAAACTGGTATTTTTGCAAGCTGTGAAGTAGATACTCAGAAATGACCTCCTGATTTTCCACTGCTCCAGTAGCTGTTAAATCCATCTCGGTGGATTTAATTCAAACAGCATAGTTGATAATTTGTTACAGGCTTTTACCAGTGGTAGACTTTGATCATACCTGACTTAAGTAGGTGAACAGAAAGACTAGCAAGACAAAGAAGAGGAGGTTTTTAGTTATATCTTTAAGACATTGTCTTCTTTAACTAAACCTTTGTGTTAAATTCCACACTTGCAATTTCGACTTTCCTGGTTTTATATATAAGCACACACAAAGGCACATATGTATGCAGCCTTAGATATTATATGGTGGCCTTATCAATGTTGTCCTCAAAAGTTCTCAGTGGCAGCATGAAAGTAACCAGTCTATATACTCACTTTCCATAAATACCACTAGAATGTTACAACTTCTTCTACAGTTTCAAACCTCAGATCCTACTATTAGAACTTCTCGTTGCTTGCCAGAACGCTGAAAAGACTTCCCAAGGTTAGAAAGCTCTGAACAGCAGTAGCAGCGGCAGCAAAGACTGTGTTAGTACCTTCAGGAAGAGGAAATATGATATTGTGTGCTTGAGCTTCTGCTACAAAGTGTCAGATGGACTTTCTGAGCTGGTGATTGTCTGATAGCAGTATTATGGCCGTTGTGATTCTGATGGGCTTTGTGCTTGACAGAGCTGTATTGTGGAGCTAGAAAACTGAACTGCATGGTGAGAGCTTTAGATAAGAGAGGCAGTCTGGGGTCATGGTCAGACCTAAGTGGAAGCTGCTTCACCTGAGAACGAGTGTGAAAGTTGTTTCTCTGCAGCACCCGAAAGCACCAGCTACCGGGTTTTGCTGAAGAGAGGTAATTCTGGTTCTTTCTAGATAAATCAGTTTGTTGCTAAATAACGTAGTCTTCACTTTTTGATATTCCAGTGTTGAATTCAGTTGGAGAGATAATAGGCAGTGAATCATTCTCGGGGGGAACAGGAAAGAACTTAATATTCAAGGTCATTTTTTTTCCAAAACACGTGCATGAAGAACAGGATGCAAAGTGCGTGTGCACATAGTAAAATAGTGACTCTTGCACGGTGGAATTCTCTTGGACCATGGCTGTAGGTCATGAGGTGCATAGCTTAACACATTGACCCTCAGCAGAATTGAAGCTACCAGTTGCTTAACAGTTCAAACAATTAATTTCATAATGTGTTTATTTTGATTTATAGAACAAGCGGAAATATATAGAAATTATCATAGCTTTGAAAAAATAAAATTTAGGTTTATTTTAGTAAACTAACAGGCAGTCTTTTCTCAAGTAAAGAATTCTTTTGCTCACAGTAATGCAAGTTGCTTCTTCCCAAAAATTTTGAAATAAGTGAACAGTTTGCAGTGAGAGTCAGCAGGCCATTAAATGAGCAGATTCAGAGAGCAGTTGACATCTTTTGGGGTGCTTTTAGCTTGCTTTCATTGGGCCAGAGTGTTCTTAAAGCAGTGGTTTCATGTGCTGTCTCGTGCTTGTGTGACCCCTTATGAGGCTGATCCAGCCTACAAAGTTGTCAACTTGCTGTAGTGAAACAGCTCTGTTGGAAAGAATGCGGGAGGAGGTGGGCGTGCCACAGCGAGTGGGTAGGGCCTGCCTGTCGTTTGGAGAGACCTGTCCTGTGCAGCCATCTGGAAGTGCTCTCTGGGATGAAAGAATTGTTTGTTAAGTGAAGTAGCAGTTCTGGTCAGCAGAAGAACCAGGGACTTCTGATGTTTGCAGCAATACTGCAAATCAATGCTGCTCAGCATGGCAGTGATGGAAATGCTCTTTATGTCTGTAACACTTTTCATAGATAGAAAATTGCTTGAATTAAATAATCTGAATTCTTACACTTTGTGTAGGAACTGTCCTAATACTCCATAAACTATCGATATGGTCATAATGTGACTTCTTTATAGATAAAAAAATCAGTCTTTGGTTCCTTTTGGAAGTTTTTGTAGGAAAGCATTAACTTTTGAAGATTTTGGCAAAGAGCAAAGATAGGTAATTCAGACTTGAAATTGCGTATTTGCAGTATTCTCACATCAGCTGGTGTTTTTCTGACAGAGGTCTCTGATGTGCATGTGTTCCACTCTGGCATGTTTTCTGGACAGTAGTTGATAGAGAAATAACTAACAAAACATAAAATCTCAAACTCACATATTCTGTAAAATTGGGCATTTTATGTTCACTTCCTTAATAGAAGTGAAAGGAGGAGTCAAGGGAAGATATCATGCATCTGTCAATAAACAGATAAAACTTGGTTTTTATTTCTATTTAATTGTGTGTTTAGAGCTCTGGCTAACTGAATGGTACTTAAAATAGACATCTGTTCTTTAGAGGGAAAGGTTTATGCTCACTTCTTTATTCACAAAACCTCTTGCAAACTTTAGTTGTAAGAAAATGTCAAAAATAAGGAATAAAGAATTTACAGGACTTATGGAAATATTACTGTATTACTGAAGTTATGAAATAAGAAATAGAAAGTGTCTTTTCCTACTGGGCAGTAGGCTATGTCCCAGCTGGGTAGCAAATTGCAAAATACCTATGTCTGTTTGTTATTTTGGATTTTTTCCCTTTCATCAAAAGCACCAAGGAAACATCTGGGTTAGGTTCAAGAGCAGCAAATTATTTAAGTCATTGTTGGACATTATTCAAGCTCTTCTGTTCAGCCTCTGTTTAACTTTTTCCAAACTCGGATGGCATTTTTCTATTTCGAAATATCCACTTTCAAGAAAATTATCCTTAGAAGTTTGTATGTTGTTTTAGTGATAACTCTTTAGGTAGAAAACACACCCTCCTGCAGTTTTACTGTATCTATTTCCTAGAAATCCTAAAATTTTATAGGACATGTTTTGAGTTTATGTAACATGATCAGGCAGATAATGTTCTTGTTGCTCTTTCTGGTGATCTTCCAGTCTCTATCTTCCATCAGATGAAATCTGTCTTTCATCCTCTTTCAATTTATTCTGGCTTCATTTTGCTACATGGTAAAATTTCTAGAAAGTAATTGTGTCATTTGTCTTAAACTCGAGTTCTTTAAGCAGTAGTGTAATAAGCTTTTTGTCCTTGTCAGCAGATATATGCAGAGTGTGTCGGTCGGAAGGAACTCCTGAGAAACCCCTCTATCATCCATGTGTGTGTACTGGCAGTATTAAATTTATTCATCAGGAATGGTGAGTTCTGTGTCTGTGTTTCGTAATTTTTTTCTCTTAATGAAAACATACTAACGTCTTTCTAAAAAGACTCCAGGTCTTCAGGTTAACTGATGAAAAAAATATCCAATTTTCAGATTAGACAGTGGAAATGTGTTTAGGGTTTTGATGTTTTTTACATGATGATTCATTACAATTCAGGAAAAATTTAGTAATTATACATGGGAAGAAAGCACTGATAATTATTTGTGTTTGGGACTGCAGTTCTGATTGTATGTCAGCTTTATGAAAACAGAGTAGAATAATCAGTTTGTTGTGGCTTTTTTTTTGCCCACTTAGAGTTGTGAATAGATGGAACATCAAACCTCACAGAAAAATTAAAAAACCCTAGTGCTTTCTAATGGGTTTGATCAGGAAGTGCTAAAGTAAAAGCTATAGTTCTAGTATGGTCATTTCTGATGGTATTTTAATAGTCCTTCTTTCACAAATACAGCAGTTCTAAGTCTTAGCTGTGTCATATAGGTATATGTCATATTTTGAAGTATTTATAAGAACTGGTGTCACTGGTGGTGGCCATGCAGGATACCTGCTTTGATCAGTAACGTACTCAAAAGAATGTGCTTTATCAATACTGTGACGTATGTCAGTTTACCTTTCTCTACTGTTTGAAACTTACTTGATGGCCTAAATGGACTTAATAAACATGCTAATTTTAAGTCCTGCTTGATGGTACGGACATCCTGATTTAAGTGTGAAAGCAGAGAATTGATGTGTTTCCTTAGTGGAGGGATAGGGCTGAGAGATGTATAGCTTGTGTTAATATGATCACTTTTTATTGCAGCTTAGTTCAGTGGCTTAAACACAGCAGAAAAGAATACTGTGAATTATGTAAGCACAGATTTGCTTTCACACCAAGTAAGTATGTTTTACTTGCTCCTATTTTTTTCAGAATTTTTCTCACGTAGTATCTATGAAGTCATTACTTTTTCATTCAGCGTGGTAGATCCAAACTTTTGGTATAACTTCTGTATTCTTGTTTTAATTGCAATTTTTGTGCATGTTATTGCAGACTGTGAATCGCTTAAATACTGGCTAATTTGGTTCTTTCATAATCTTAAGTGAGACATAAAAGAATTATTATTCTGTACCTTTTCTGTCAGCCTCAGTCCCATTCTTTTGTTGCCAGCATTACAGCGTGTGGCATGTTTTCAGCTTCATTGATAAATCTGAGACTTTGGAAGTCTGAGTGGTAAAGTGAAACCATGGCAAAATTTGAGTTTGAAAGGCAGTTTTCAGTTAGCTTTAAAGGATCTACCTGCAACACTAACACTTGGCTTCTGTGAGTTTCAGCTCAAGTGTTCTTGAGAGATAATAGAAATTATGATTATTCCGCTTAGCATATCTTGACTGAAATGTAACTACCCAGTATTAAATTGCCTTTTATGTTAAATGCAACTAAATAAGGTAGGCAACTTATGATGAAGAATCTTCCCAGAGGATTCTTAATTGCATTCTAACTGATTGTAGTAGGAATAGGTGAGGTGGCAGGCCAGTACTTAGTGTTGTCAGTTTATTGCCTGTTGAGCAGGTAAAGTGGGTATTATGCTACATTTTTCTCTTTAAATTTACTGATTTATTCCTGCTCCCCTCTCACCTTTTTTTGTGTGTTGAGGTTTTTTTTCTCCTAGTTTTGTACTTTGGTAGAGAAAACTGAGGCTAAAGTGTTTTAGTTAATGTATTTTCTGTTCCAAAAATCCCTTAATCCACCTTCCTTCTTTATGTTGAACCTTGATATGATGTATTGCTGCCAACAATTAATTAAACGCATTAGACCAGCAGTGAAATGTGTCATACTAATGCTGTCTTGGGAGGGTAATAACATATTTTATGTTGAACGCAGCAGTGCTTTCTGGTTATTATTCTTAAATATTACAGTGACCTGTATGAGGAATGTTAGAGATCATCTGCTTGCAGGTTTTATTTGTTAAACACTTTTATAAAAGCATTATATTGCTTCAATAAGGAGTTTTTATAAACTTAGATTCATACCCAGTTCTGAATCTCCCTGCAAGCTGATTTAGCCACTTTGAAAATTGCATACTGCGACTAGGTCCTCTACAGAATGTAGTGTGGAAGCTTAGTTACTGCCCTTATCAACAGAGGTGTTCCTGCAGAAGTTAATTCTTTACTGATGCTTGTTGTTGCCAACACAGCTTGTAATCTACTCGCAGGTTATGGACAGGGAAGAAAACTTACTTGAGGTAATGTGGCTCAAAAAGTTACCATTTTTCATAGGAGCTTTGAAATTGGTAATAAGGAACCACTTTCGTCCTCATGCGGTAGAGTGTATCCTCCGCATTTAGCCTGTAGTAAAGGTCTGTTTATCCTTGGCCACACACTTGTCGCTCCCCTTACTGAGCAGGCTTAGCTAATAAGGTTTTCTTCTCGGCTTTCTGCCTTGCAGTGCGCTTTTTCCTACCAGGCCTCACACAGCAGTAGCACGTCAGGTACTCTGTACAGATTCCTCCTGCCCTCCCTGCCCTTGTCTTGTTTCATTGTTTCCCTCACACCCAATACTCATGCAGTTATCGGTTTCCTTAATTTCTCTTATCCCTCTTTCTTTGGAAGATAATGTGACTGTCCAATGTGGAAACTGGATTTGCTTGTGGGAGCAGGGAAGGAGTCATGAGTGCTGGAGAGAGAATGATAAGGCAGAAAAAAAAGGCACTTATGTATATGCCAGTGATCTCAAGCAAAGTTGGATCTGGCCTGTAACCATGCCAAGTGTAACACACCTTCAGATAAGTTGATTCACCATAGGAAGTGGTCAAATAAACACATGCATGTAGTATCTGTGGTCCAGCAGACAAGCACTAATAGTGTAATAGAGTATTAGTGCAGTAATACCAGCAGCTCCTCTCTTGTTTAGCTTGGTTTGCTTGCTAAGGCTATTGCTGTCATTCTGTCAAAAATGCTTCCTTACTATTGTAACTTCTTGTGTATGGAGTATTCATAAACTATTTCTAGTGCATTTATTCTCTAAGTTCTGTAACGTTTTGGGATTTTTATTAACACTCAAATTGCTTGTTTAGTTATTACTGGAAAGGAAGGAAAAAGGAGAAGATTCAACTTGTATTTTGGCAGGAGTACAAAGGAACAAATTTTTCTTTTGAATAATAGCATCATTCTGTAAATGTGTTTAGTCATGTAGGTAAATTACTTGATTTCAAATGCATTCTTTAAAGCTAAATTTTTTATGTTTTAAAGTTAATTCCTTTTCTGCGGGTTCTTCAAGTTAAGAATTAATAAAACTATTAAATAAAAGTAGCTTTTGACAGTTTTTGATTGTCAAGCTACTTTTTCATCCTTAACTTGCAAGTTTTCTTCCTGAGTTTTTAAAGAGTAACTACTCTGTATTCTTTCCCTCCCACACTCGCTTTCTTTTGTCATGTGCAAGGATGTGCTTCTGTTAATGCTAAACATTCATAAGCGCTCATACATGAAAGAAAGCAAGGCTATATTTCCCAAGAATATACAGTTGTCAAAACTTCTCCATTCTGTAGGAGGTAACATTAACATAAATACTGTCAAAAACACAAATATGGAAGCAGACTAGGCTGGTCTTTGTCTGAGAATTGGGATGGGTTCATTTCTGTGCTTCCTGTGCGGCTTCATTGCTGGTATGTGGTCCATAAAATGCCACAAGCTTAGTTAAAACCAAGACTGTAAAACTAAAGGAAGCCGTATGAGTAGGGTGTTCCTTATCATGTAGTTTGGATATTGCATTATTGAAGGATATATTAAACTGATTTCTTTGCCTGTTTGTTTTGATCAACTTTTAGCACAGTAGTCCATACCTTCAGCATTTCTAGCAAGTCTGATTTGAAAAAATAAACTTCTATAACAAAATACTATATGCTGGCACAGAATTCAATGTGTCTTCTGCCAGCTCCAGTGTGCAGCATATACACACAGCTTTATGATTTATGTGAATGTTATTCCATATATTTGTTAAAGCTGTGCTTGCCTGAGAAGGAGTGGAGTTTTTCTCCTTTTACCTTAGTGGTCTGAAGCAAAGGCCACATGTGTTTGAAGGGTGTTAAACACAGAAACATGGAATGGTTTAGGTTGGAAGGATCTTTTGAAGATCATCTAGTCCAACCTAAAGAATAACTCTCAAGCCCTGTTTTACCAAACCAGTGCTTTCACCCAGGAGCTATCAAATATGTGGTTTTTACTTATGAGTTAGTCTTATTTCATGCTCACTGCATGAGGATGACTGAGGTGGCATATAAGTGGCTTGCAAATGTTGTAGTAAATAAAAAAATCTATGGGTAAGAGGGTTGCAAGTGTGATGATTCTGTGAAGTAGGTTAAATGGCAGCTTCTAAAGGTAGCCTTGTGTTTTTCCTGTCTTGTGTCAGTGTAAGAGCAGATTTCTGTCATACTCTCTGTTTTGGAGAAGTAAAATTAGTAATTGTGTTCCTGGAAAAGTTAAGTTTACAGGAGGGGAGGGTAGAACAAAACCCCACCTCCTGAAAACAACCGACCAAACTAAACAAACCCCACCCAAATTTAAGATTCACAACTAAATTACCAGTTACACTGCATAGGTGTGACCTAAGTGTCCAAAAAGCTTTCTGGTAGTTTTTCCATAACCTGAACAGCTCAAAGAAGTTGAGCTAAACCTGTGAAAAACTCGCCCAAAGTGTGTTTGAATTTCATGCTGTAATAGAAAAAAAAAGACAAGCTATTGTTTCAATTGGTCTCTAGTAAAAAGACTTTTATTTGGAAGAACTGTGGTAAATAATGCAGAATTTTTTTTCTCAAACTGAGTTAAGAAAGATTACGGGGATGGAAGGTAAGGGATGGAGGTGTGGTGAGGAGGATGCATGTGCATAAGCAAATTAGGAGGATGGATGCTGTGGTGGCAGGGGTCCAGGTCTCAGGCCTCAAAGTGATAGTGGGAAGTGGAATAAAGGGAGGTGCAGTGTGGGCAGAAGATGGCACTGGATGACAGACACAGGTGGGGAGATAAACTATGCAAATCACTGGCAGCAAGCTTCAGTGGTGCAGGGTGCTTGCACACCAGGGCTTCCTGTCATGCTAGGAATTCCTGCATTTCAGGCACCTGAACGTTGCAGGACATAGAAAGATTTTACCTTATCATCATGGTGTAAAGCTTCTAGTGGAAAAAGCTGTAAATATTTTGAGGTGTGCACAGGACTGTGCACAGGAAAAACAGCTTTCTTCCCACCCTCATCTTCTGAAATCATCAAAAATCACCAAAGTGTTAAAATTTGGGCGATATAGCTTGTCTTCTCTGAGTAGTAGCTATATTGTGCTTTTATTTGAAAAAGGGCTGTTATAACCTTAAAGCCTTTAGAAAAGCGAGCATGCAAAAATGCTAACTTTTATAAGCGCTTTGTGCTTTGAGTTAGGATGGACATTGTTTCATGCACTTCCTTGTGTGTGTTCAGTAATTCCTGGAAGACTTTTTTTTTAATTTCAAATCTTTCCAACTTAATGACTTATCCCTAACAAATAAATCATTAATACAAAGTTAATGTTTTCTTTGTAGTTCTTGTTGCAAAGTGTTGATCAAAATATATTTTTTGAAAACAAGAAACTTCTCAAAGTATCTGCTGCATTGTCTGAGTGGTACTATAAAGGTTTAACAGGTATACTCTAAATAAATATTCTTTTGCACCCTTGACAAAGGTTTTTTTGTCTCTTGTGGCAGAAATTTTCCAGAATGTTTGTTCAGTGTGAGCTGAGATCATTAGTTTGTCATTTTCTATGGTTCCAAATTGTGTATTAAATCTGTTTCTGTAACAAGAAAATTGTAAGACGATGTCAAAATATGTTTGTGCCCTGCTTTCAATTTGCTGCTCTATATTCTCACAGCTACAGTTCCCTGGTGTTATACTTTTAGTCCATCCTTTCATGAATTCCAGTTCCTTGCCAGATACCTGGTGAATAACAAGCTTTGAAATTTCAAACCAGTTACTACTTGTCTCAGGGGTACTCTTGTGTTGTTGCTTTGTGTCAGTTATAATCCACATACTGCTGAAATGCACCAGTCTCTCCCCATTCTTTGACTGCTTCTGAATGTTGATACTGCTTGTCTGTGTTCCTGAGTTCTCTTTACGATACAGAAACTGAGGGAAATAGTCCTGGAGAGAAAATAATTTCTTTCTCCTGTAGAGGCTTCTTCTCTGAGACTAGTGAAAAGATGATTGGGAATATAGGTGAAGGGGTTGCAGGTAGATAGCATAAAGCAGTATTTGTTAAGACTCTTAAAGGATTGCTCATGAGAGAAAATGAAAACTTCTGTTTGTTCTTATAAAAGTTGAGTTTCTTTATGTAGTTAGATGTGAAGTTTTAAATATTAGTCCATAATGTTAAAGCACGTTTCCAACATAAACAACCAGGCAGCAATGTCTTTGTGCAACTCCCAAATATAGTTTATCTTCTTTATTCAAATCTGTTAAGGATACTGTACATTACCACTTCTTAGTATCCATGTAAGTGTGTAGAAACTAAGTACATGTAATGAAGTTGTTAGATGCTTTCTAATTGTTTGCAAAAGAAGATCGCACCACTGTTTTTCTTGGCTTTTGAGTAGGTATGGGCCTATGCAACATGTAGGTGTTGAATTTAAAAAGTCAAGAAAATTTAGTATTATAAGAATCTGTGCAGGATGAGAGATTTGCATTGTGCTCTTTAATAGGAACATCTTTAGAAGAAATTCTGCATGATATGAAATATATCTATTGAAAGTCAGTCATTGTGTGTAAATGTCAATGTCTGTCACATACTTTATCAGTTCTCTTCAGTTTTCCTCCCTGTGTGCTGCTTTTATTCTGCTGGGGTTTTTTTTTTGGTCTGTGCTGTTGGATGGCAAGTAGAATCTAAATTACCTAGCACAAACAAATAGACATTGAGCAAAACTGATGATTGCTCTTGTTCCTTGTGCCCTTTCCATGAACTAGGCTTATAAATAACAGAGGAATCTTAGAGGTAGTGTTGAGTGAGAGTGATACTGATTTTAGAATCTGCTTTTTCTTGAGCTCATTTCTAGGTAATTGGGGTTTACAGTTAACAAATAAAGCTATTAAACTTCTCTTAGGCCAAAGACTGGCATGGAGCCTATTAATTTTCCCATTCCTCTCAGTACACAGTAAAACAAATGTGTTACATGATTTTTTTTGTTGTTGTTTGTTTGGAGCCATCTCTTGAGAACATAAAATGTGCTTATTCTTCTAGTAAGCTTTTGTGAGATACAGTTTGTAGTTGGCAGGACTTTTACATAAATGCTTCTCTAAGGATAAACTGTTTCATAAGTGCCTTTTCTACACAGTTTATTCCCCAGATATGCCTTCACGGCTTCCAATCCAAGACATCTTTGCTGGACTGGTTACGAGTATTGGCACAGCAATACGATACTGGTTTCATTATACACTTGTGGCCTTTGCATGGTTGGGAGTAGTACCTCTTACTGCATGTAAGTATTCATTTTCTGTACATAATACTCTTATACACAGGGAAATGTGGCGCTTCCTGTAACAAAATTTTATGAGACAATTATTGTTTATTAAAAAAAAATTCAAAGACACTATTTCATTTCTTTTCACTTAGAAATTCTACCTGTTTGACTCTTAAGCCAGTAGTGCAATGCAGAAAGGTGTAAGACATAGGAGAGAATGCATGAAAGAGCTTTTAAATATCTTACTCCAATAAAATGCCTCTTCTCAAATTATCTTCTTTAAAATCTACATGGCAGGTTTTAATTTATGTCATTTATTAATAGTAGGATAGAAGAGTTGTCCTATTTTTATTAACCATCTATAAATGAAAGTGCGGCGGTTTCTTTATATAAAAAGTAAAACAATCATGCACAAATTGATTTGTAAAACTCTTAAATCTCAGTCATGTAAGTAGTAAAGGAATTCAGTAGAAAAGAGAGTACACATTTCAATTACTCTAGTGTCCAGTTTAAAATTTACTTTCCAAATAGAGATGGAAAAAGAACTATGACTGTTTCAACAATCTGCGAGTACACAGAAAATGGAGAAACACAGAAGCGTTACAGTGTTCAGTCAAGGGAATAATTGGAAGTGCATCTTTACAAACTGTAACATGTCCCTTGAACAAAAGAGCAAGGGAGTAAATGTAGAAGGAAATGAGACAGTTTCTCAGTATGGTCTATGTTTTTATTTGTAGCTGGCACAGGCTTAGTTTGAGAATAGCGCAATATTGGCATTACCTAATTTTCTGAAGTAGGCCGTATACACTGATGGCCTACTTTTTAAATGAAATCATGGTAGAAAGCTAACATTTACTAGCATTAGCTATTAATCCATAAAACAGTTACTTAAAACAGATGATGAAATGGTGATGATCCTTACAACATGATATCATAATACTAGAAGTTTATATGCATTCAAAATACGATTGAACAAATAAAAGTGGGAGAAATTCTATCAAGGATTAATTAGCTGTGAGATATTTTGGTATAGGAAGTGAAACATACGAGAATATACTGAAGAAGTATCACTGCAAGTATCTTTAACCTGCTTCCATATTCTTCCTTAGGCATCCATTAGTGTGACCAGTGCTGGACACAGGTCTAGATGAATCTTGGGTCTAACCTAGCATGGCAGTTCTTACACTTAGAATGTGTACTCTTAAAGCTATGCAGCTAAAATGTAACTTTGTTCCACGTGTTTGTATATGGTCTTGAGTTCTGTTTATGCACTGAAAGTTGAGATTTTCTTCCATGTCATAAATTTAGTTGAACACCAGGTGAAAAGAGGGAACTTGTTGTCCTTTCCAAGTGAAGCTATAGCCAAAATCGAATTTATATCAAGCTTCTGTTTGTTCACACAGGTCGTATCTACAAGTGCTTGTTTACTGGCTCTGTGAGCTCACTACTGACACTGCCATTAGATATTCTGTCCACGTAAGTACTTTAGCAGTTTGGTACAAAAACCTGGTTTAGTCAGATTACCCTGAAAGCAGTAACTTTAGAATTTTTTAGTGTCCCTTTCATCCAGTTATACTTGTTATCTTCCATCATCTTAATAAGCAACTGCCCACTGACCTTTGCACAACCAGATGTATGGACAACACCATTGCAATAGAAATAATTTCATTTTGGAGTTGCATTATTCAGGGCCTTTGGAGCTGGAAAACCAACTTGACAAAGCAGGCCCTGGTTAAGGAAAATTTGTATTTGATGTCAATAAAACTTATACTGCAAAATTACATTTAATAATTTAAAAAAATTAATTTCCCGTGGTTTAAATCGGATACATAGCAGAATATTAACAAATGTGTCACTAATGATGTCGCTTTCTGTTTTCTTTATTGCGTATTTATATTTTGAATTTAAGTTTATCCATTCTGAGTCTCTTATGTGAGAGGGATTATTTTTTTATCAGATTTCCTTCTAGCTGGTACTTGGATTTTTAATGCTTCAATCACCATCTGCTATTGCACATTTTCTTTCTTTATCCTTTTAAAATCAATTTTGCCTGAAGAATCAATAAATACCAAACAACAGAATTTCAAGCTGCCTCTTGCTTTCTCATTATCTCGAACATGAGGAACTAAAACTGAGTTTAAGTAGAATCAGCTGCACATCAAGCAAATTTGGAATGAATGTTCTCTGTGTTTCAGCTAAGTCATCTCAATTGGGCTATTTGATTTGAGAAATCAGGTGAAGTTGCATTTAACTAATTTTCATTATTGGAGAGAGATACTTGTTTCAGTCTAGTAACATGTATTCCCTGTTATCTCTGTAGTGTAGATTCTGTTTTTATTGGGAGAAGAATCTGAAACAACTGAACCTAGAGCACCTCATGTCTATTACAGTCTAGGGAGAAAATAAGGAACTTGAGTATTTGTCAGATTTTAATGGTGTGTGAATCCGTGCTTTGACATTTATTTCTTTGGCAGAGTCAAGTACAGTAGCCTCTTGTATCATCTTTTCATTTTGGACTTCATGTCCCCATGATATTCACTGTGCTGTGCAGGCACAAGTTTGCAGCTTCAAGGGGGACCAGACTGATGCTTCTTTGGAGATGGTAGAGTACCGTGGGACCACGTTTCTTGCCTATTTTTAAGAACATGTTATAGTTTTCCAAGAAGATACCTGAAATTAAGAATGAGAATTGCTTAAGATGGTTTAAGTACCTCTTGCATTGCATGAAACCTGAGATTTGGTTGGCTGGCTGAACTTTGCTTTGCTGCTGCTATACAGTTATGTATGACCTGATTGATTAAGATTTTTTAGGTATAGAGATAATATCTGAGGTAAAATGGTACCTGGAATGTAGAGCAGTTGAAGGAAAACCTTAGAGTTCCATTCTTCTGGTTCAGGTAGCTCAGCAGGTAAAATGCTCAGGTGGACTGGATATTGTGCATTTAGCCATTTAAGTAAACCTTTTACTGTATCAGAGCATTAACTTAGTGACTACTGTGTTTCCTTTGCTGTTCTGAAGATTGGGTTTTTTTAACTACTCTGTAGTCTTACGTGCAAAATACTCTTTTCATTAATACTTTTTTTTTTTTAAACAGGGAGAATTTGCTGGCTGACTGTTTGCAGGGCTGTTTTGTGGTGACATGCACTCTGTGTGCATTTATCAGCCTTGTATGGTTACGTGAACAGATCGTCCATGGAGGAGCACCACAGTGGTTGGAACAAAATCAACAACAGCCACTCAATGGTGTTGGTCAACAAAATGAGGTAAAACTTATTGCTCATTAGTTCACAATTAATTTAGAAAATGTGGTTCTGGGAGTAAATACTTTATCAAAACACAACAGTAATGTTACTTTACTTCAAGGTGTCTTTATTTGTTAGCAGAAGTTCAACACTTGTTCCTATATAAACTCAGTGACTTTTATTGTATAGCATTGCATAGATTCTTGTCTCTGTATCTTTACCATTTTTAATATAATTTTATGCACGTAAAGCTGAATTCTCAGGCATAATCAATGAAGATGCAGCTTGCTTTTATTCTCTCTTTTTCATAAGTATACTGGTAGTTCATGAGGTAACGATTCACTGTTCCCAAAGCAATAAGAAGTTTTGCTGACACCACTGAAGTTGGAACATCTCTACCCTCCTCCCACTCCCAGCACACTTCAATGTGCACTCCTTCAATGCTTTCAGGATCCTCTTGGGTGGGAGAAGTGATATTATAAGCAATCCATGCATAGGGAAGAAATAATTCAAAATGTTGTTTTCTATTTAGTAAATGTCAGTTTTTAAGACAGATTCTCATACTGGTGACTGACTCGAGTTGGTCTTGAATTATCATCTTTCTCATGGAAACTATCATTATATTAGAGAGTTCCCCTCTATTAAGCACTAGTGAGACCACATCTGGAGTGCTGTATCCAGTTTTAGGGTCCCCCCATACAAAAGAGGCATGGACAGACTAGAGTGAGTGCAGTGAAGAGTAAACAGAAATTACTAAAGGACTGGAACATCTGACATGATGAGAGGCTGAGAACTGGCATTGTTTAGTTGGAAAATGAGAATGCTCAGGGTGGACCTTATCAGTCTGTATAAATGCCTGATGGAAGGGTGTAAAAAGAAGACAGAGCCAGAGCTGTTTTCCTGGTATTGACCAGATCCATAAGCAGTAGGCTTAAATTAAAAGTGCGGGAAATTCCATTTAGATTTTTTTTTTAAAAAAAAGGTTCTGTTTGTGTTGGGTTTTGGCTTTTTTTTTTATATACTACTGCTGTGATCACCTACTGGAACAGGTTGCTCAGAGAGGTTGTAAAGTTTCCACCTTGGGAAAGGGTGGCTCAAAAGCCAAGTCGAAACAGCACTGATCCTGCCATAGCTGACCTTGCTTTCAGTAGTTGGGTTGGCTAGATGATCTCTAGAGGCTCCTTCCTACCTCAGCTACTCTTTAAAGTTATCTGAATGTTTCTTTTCCTGTTTTTAAAGGTTTTGTGGCCCCAAGTGTAATTCTTATCTAGAAAATATATTATTGACTTCTTTTAATACTGTTTGTTTTTATATATATATACAGGATAAAAGCATGAAAAGAGCTTGGTCAATGTAACCAAGTACTAAATCCTGTTTCTGCAGGCTCAGGCTGCTGTAAATGGAGGTGTTGAAAATGCTGTGCTTGATCAACCTGCTAACCCAGCTGCTGAGAACGTAGTTGTTGGTGAGAACCCTGAAATTCAAGAGGAGCAAGTAGATGAAGAAGAGGAAGATAACGAAGATGAAGAGGATGCTGTAGTAGAAGATGCAGCAGATGCAAACAATGGAGCACAAGGTAACAGGTGACTCAAAGCATTAATGTTCTAGTTCTTATTAACTATAAATTAATTGAATATAGAACTGCCATAATTGAAGGAAGCCATGTAAATTCCCACTTCAGCTTATTTATCTTGGCTTTACAAATTTCATGCTTTTTGAGCACTGAAGAATCTGCTTGCTGAAAAGCTGTCGGCAGTTACAAGATGAATATTATACACTCAAGTCTTTTTGTTCATTTAGAACATAGCATGGAGTGGTTACATCTTGTTTTGAGTGATCTAACAGCTGTAAAAATGGCCATTGTCTCCTCAGATGACATGAACTGGAATGCTTTGGAATGGGATCGAGCAGCAGAAGAGCTTACTTGGGAGCGAGTGAGTAAGAATCATTTTCTTGAATATAATAATCCAGGCTCTTACTTGAAATTATTTGTAGTATTGCTGTGTTCAAATACATTTGGGATCACTCTTGTAAGGGCCTTTAGTGACCTAGAAAAACTGTTACATTATAAGCATAGTGTTATTATGTTACTTACTTAGCCATCAAAGAAAGCATTTCTTTGATTATAAGTATAGTAGCAGCTTATAAATATAAAGTACAGTAGCAGCTTAAAACATGTTTTAATAGTCTTTTCTGAAGTCTTCCACTTAGTGAGGTGTAGAACTGGCTTGCAGCTTGCTTTGAGGACGCTGGGCCAGATTACGAGTGCACAGATGTTGCATTAGATGTAGTTTAATGCTTAATTTTTGTATTCGTGAAAGCTTTAGACTAAAAAGAGAAATGAAACCTTAGGATTCTTTGCAAAAAGCAAATGTGTTTCTCTAAACATGATGAACATTTTAATGTAACATGGTTTCTGTATTGTTTATGGATCACAAATTCCATAACTAGAGCATGACATGCATGTACACTGTAATCATGGAGTAGTGTAGAGACTGGAGAATTAGGTTTTTGTAGCTGGTCTGGAAGTAGCCAACATCTGAGTTCAAAGCTCACCACAGGCAGCAAAATCTGTCTGAAGGTAGATACAGCAGCTTCATGTGATTTACCAGCATCATTCCTAGGATATGGTATAGTTGTTACCTCGATTACAGGGTAGCAGAGATACAGTTTTCATCTTGAGTGGCACATCTTGATATTTGTTTTGTATCTACTGAAAGCTTCTTAGTGTTATTTTGAAAGATATTTCATGAAAAAGGGCATACTTAAATTCAGGTTCCTGAACCATTCTGTTGTTTATTTCAGGATGAAAGAGTTGTATTTCTGAACCCAATTTATTTGCTAGAAAGTGCTGATATTTTGTTGCCTCTCCCTGAATATAGAAGTCAATTTCAGCATACTTTCATAACCACTTCCAGTGTTATGTGCTGACATAGGCAATAGATAGGTAGTTGACATTTAGTATCAAAATTGGAATAGGTTCTTCTATTATGTCATCCTGTAAAAATACCATACAAGTTTTCTGAATTTTCAAACATTTTTGCATCTTGGTTTGATTTGTAAAATAAGTGCAACTCTTATATCTTGGAACCTAGTGCAAAGTCCTCCTACAAAAGAGCCTTGAACATGGAACTTTACAGCGGTAATTGTGCAGTAGGAGTGTCTGGATTGAAATAGTAAGATACACTCAAAGTGGGAGGAAAGGAGTTTGTTTTGTTTTTTTTCAATAGATGCTTTATTTTTGACTGCTCTGTGGATGCTTCCCATAACAGCTATGCTGAGTGATGAAGAATTTTTCCCATCTTCCCTAGCTGTAAAACAATTCTGTTCAAAAGTCAATAACATACGGTGTAGCAAATTATCCTGTTAGTAGTTGCTTTTGTACATCGAAGGTAAAATACTAACTTTTCTCAGTGCAGCATAAACTGATATTTTGCAAGTAGGATGAAACAAAAATTTGCTCTTGTATTTAAATACTGAGTTGATTAAACATCTACTTAAATAGCCATTCAATCGCTACAGTATTTTGCAAATACAAAATCTTTGTCAGAATCTTTAAAGTCATGGAGAGAAACAGCTTGAAATGTGTATATAACAGCTTCTATGCGTGTTTGGTTCAATGAATATAGATACATGTGTATTCAGATATTCCGCATGTATATCACTGTCTTTGAACACCTGAGTTTACGGTGTTGAATGAGAACTTAATTCTTACACATAAAGAGAGAAACTTATGTCCTGGTACTGTTGGTTGAGCCATTAAAAACTCTTGACTGCATTTGACAATAAAGGTCAATGTGCAAGAGGCTTATTTTAGATTCAGGTTAGTTTTTCTGATAAGTAAAAATAACTTTCTTATCTTCACAGATGCTTGGACTTGATGGATCTCTAGTTTTCTTAGTAAGTGCAATCCTGTTCTCAAGAATTTCTACAGACGGATTTTTTTTAATGCCTGTACTTTTTTTATATACATAATTGTATTTGAAGTCCTTATTTTCATATCTTATATGTATTTGTTTAAAGAGAGTTTCATATGATGTCATGTTCAAGCAAACTGGATTTTTTTAGGAGTTTCACAGATTAGTGGTGTGTGTGAATGGCATAAAAGTGGAATTTCTTAAAAGACGTAGATAACTTTGGATCACTTACTCCACTGTAAATAAAAAACTAGACCTTTTAAAAAGTGCACACTGAAAATACAAATCTGTTCTAACCTTATGTTTTGATCTTTGTTATAATTACAGTTCTCATTCAGATATATTTTTGCCATAATTCCACATCTAGTGTAAGATAGATTTTAAAATCTAAGATCTTCAGTTGACTTTATTTGGTTTTTTAATTTTTCAAAATACTCTTAGAATCATTAAGTTTGAAAAAGACCTCCAAGATCATCAGTATCTCATTTAAATATGATGTCTTAGGTGTACAATTATGTTCTTAGTCATTTACCTTAAATACTAATATCAAAATAAGTAAAAATCCAGTATACTTGTGGCTGAGGTCACTTTTTAGCTAAAAGTAATACTAAAAGATAGAGATGTGCTGTCATCTCTAGAGTAAGAGCTGTCAGTTTTGTTAACGCATTTGTTGTGGCAAAGACCAATTGTTAAAATTTCAGATGAACATTTTCTCATTTATTAAAAAAATATCCAGACACATTCCATGTAATTGTTTTTAAATGTGGAACTATTTGTATTGGTTTTAAAATAAAAGCTCCTGGCTCTCACATGAGATGTGTGAGTTCTGGTGATAATAGACTGTTGAAATAAGAAGTTGAGATACAAAAGTCAAGTCACTTATTTAAAAGTAATCTTCCTTCCCCTTTTTCCCATACTCCTTACAGGAACATGTCTTTTGGGTTGTGTCTTTAAATACGCTCTTTATACTTGTCTTTGGTAAGTAATGTTTGTTTTTAGGTTTTAAAATGATGCCTTTTTGTGAATTGATAGTACAGGTCTGTTTTAAGACTGTTCTAGAAAAGTCAAGATGTGACATCTAAGAATAGAACCAAAAATGAACTGGCAATGTGAATAACAAATATGTATTGTTTTCTAGTTGTGTCATTTTAATTTCTTTAAGTGAATAGATTTAAAATGGGAAACCTAGCAGAACCTTAACAATGTCAACCATAGCACAGAAAATATTTATTTTTAATATTTTTAAATTAAAGGAGCAATCTCATGGAATTTAAATGGAAATGCAGTACTTTGAGGAATGGCTAAGATTTTTTTTTTTCCTTATAGTTTTTACTAGATACTTATTTAAATTTTTCCATTAAGAATCCATTCTTGGAGCTCAAACTGGAAGGGTTGTGTGCAAGAATGTAGCATTTTAGTGACAAGATATTATACACTTCAAGAGACACCAGACAAAACTACCACAAAATTTCATTTGTTCTGAATGATCAGTTTAGAAAAGAATTTGTGTTGCTGTGGTGTTTTTTCAGTGGTTTTTCTTGGCAGAAGGATTTGAGGTTGAAAAACTGAAGTTGTACTATAGATAAGTTTTTACAGACAAAATAAAGCTCACAACACTGAACCAGTGATTAAAGCATCTAGATACTGAAACAGAACAGCAAATCAAAAGAAAATAAACGTAAATACATTGTATGTTTAATTTACAAGAAACTGTGACTGTTCTAAAATAAGAGTTGGAAAGTACTTGAACTGTTTCTTTCTGATAATTTACTCCATTTTAATTTGTAGTTATCAGAAGTTAATTGGGGTTTTTTAGCTGTTATAATTTTTTATTTTGCTTTTTTATTAAGTAGATAATAACCATGAAATTTCTAAACTATAGATTAAAATTCAATAACAAGTAAGTAATAAGAATAATTAATGAGGTTGTCATATAGGAACATTTTCAGTAGCTACTTTGCCAGATGAGAAACTCACAAATACACAAGAGAATTACTTTCCTAAGCAAGCAGGAGGTCTGGGAATTTAATATGTACTTCTCAACCCTATTTTTAGTTTCTTTCCCATTAAGTAATACTGTTTAATTTACAACTGCTAAATCTCTAGTAATTTGTAATTATAGTACTTGTGAGTTCAGATGTCACAGGAGGTACTTTATAAAAGATAAAATATAAGGAAAGCATTTGTAACCTTAATTAGTAGTCCAGAAATTCTCCTCAGACAAATTAATTCATTTTAACTTAATTAATATTTTCTATAGCTCATTGTATTACTCACAAGGGAGTTTGTACTCCTTTGTGCTTATTTTTTAAGGAATCTATTAGAAAATCTCTTTTAAATAAAGTTATTTAGAAAACAGGAAAAACCGTGCACTATATTCTCATAAAATGTCAGAAATAATACTAAATAAACTAATAACTTTTAAGTTATTAGTCTGATATCCGTAGGAGTTGTGAGTGTGGGTTTTTTCAGCTCACTTTTCTTTCTCTTGTTCTTACTGGGCAGGGAGAGTTCAATACCTCCCTTTATCTTTTACATGTTTGTTCTTCCCAGTAACTGCTGACTTTCCTGTAAGAGACATAAATTAAAACTTTTCTTATCATTGATTAGGGCAATGGGAGTCCTTCTAAATCTTTTCCTGTAGTTTTTTTGTTGGTTTGTTTGTTTGCTTCTGAAGTTGGGATTTTTTTATGTGTTGGTCATACAGAAATGAGGAGAGAGAAAATCGTCACCCTTTTTGTTTGAGGGAATGTTTAGTCTGTAGTAGTTCCCAGAGTGGGCTACCATGATGCCAATTGATGACAATATAGTTGAAAATTTCTGCAGCCTCTTCACTTTATACTGATGCCCTCCACTCCTGTAAAAAATTGTTGTTGAATTCTGTAGTCCTTCATAACTTGGTTAGAAGACAGCAGAGTGAGATAAAATAACTAAAAAAACTTGATTTTCTAGCAAATATGCAGGTTTCTAAAAATGGGGAAGTGCTGTGTTTTCTGAATCGATTTCCCCGGAAACCTCAGAATTGTCAGGAGTGAGTTCTTAGGAATGATGAACAGCCTTCCGTACGTTAATTTGAAGTAAAAGACTTTTTCAGTTGCTTCTCATCCCTTCACTGGGTGTCATCTTTCTCCCCTCCTTCTCCCTTTGCAAATTTCTGCAGGACTTGCATTTGTCTCAATATTTTAAGTATTCTTTAGAATTAAAGCACTAGAAACGGAAGCCTTGTTAAAGCAAATCCCATCTCACCAGGCTGTGAAATAGCTACTGAAGTCTTTTAGTGCATGGGAAAAAATGAATGTACAGCACAGGTTCCTACAGCAGTCTTAGACAGATACCAGCCTAGTACATAACACTGAGAAATTGAATTAATTTACATACTGCAAGATGAAGTAAGAAGGAAAATACATCCTCTTATTCTGTGTAGTTTTAATCCTTAAGTGCAAATTCTTATCTGATTTTCAGTGTTAGTAAAATTACAGAAATCTAACACTTGCAAATATTTGCACATAAATTAATTTTTGTACTCTTTTCATAAAATTTATGAGAAGTAGAATAATACCATGTTACAGTATTCATCCTGCAAATAAGGTTCCATTTAGCAGTTTTCATGGCCTTTTTTCTCCTTTCTGCTTACATTATACAGCATTTTGTCCATACCACATTGGTCATTTCTCCATTGTTGGCCTGGGCTTTGAGGAATATGTGAGTATTGTTTTATAATTTCAAAATGAAAAAAGAAACTACCACTGTTTATTCAATCACAATATTTTTGTAGCATCTTTCCTCTTCTGTTTGTGGTTGCCAAGGTAATTTGGAGTATGTCTTCTTACTAGTCCTTCAACCTTTTTGAATCTGATTAAAAATGTTGTCCCACTCTTTTCCACTTCCTCCATTATTTACATCTCAAGTGAGGTTTCTTACTGTTTGTAAAAACTGTGTGTGTCTTCAGAGTTTTTTTAACAGCCTCTTGTTCCTTGGGTACATTTTTAAGTAGTGTACTAATTTTCATAGTGGATGATAATAAGTAGGGTAAACTAGACGATGAGTGAAACAGTGTAAGGTGACACTTTTTGTTTCATATATTACAGTTGTTTTGAGTTTGAAGAAAGTAGTTGTAATGTAAATGTAAACATTATCTTTTCTTGATGAAGATACAAAAATAGTAGCAGATTTTTAAAATATGTAAAAACTAGAGAAACTTGACATTCTTCTTGAAGAGTTGAAATTTGGAATTTATCTTAATTACATAGAAAAGGAGATGTAATCTTCTAAGAGACTGATAAACTTTACCCTTTTTTCCTCTTTGCTCCAGGTCCAAGCATCTCACTTTGAAGGCCTGATTACAACTATAGTGGGATATGTTCTTCTAGCAGTGACTCTAATTGTTTGTCATGTATCCTTTTGTCAGTAGTTACCTGTTTCAGATTTACATGTAAATAATTTTTCTGGCTATGCTTTGAGGAGGTGCAGACATGATGCAGGTGCCCTTAACTCACCATTTTTCTCTGCTCTTTTGGTGAAATTAGAAGGAAAAGTCTCTCCTGTTTTCTTGGATATGTAGAAGTTGTCAGTGTGACTGCCTGCTTTCAAATACTTGCACGTGCTTAACAACACAATCAACGGCTTTTATGCTTGCTTGAAGGTGTCTGAGGAGAAGAGTGTAGAATCGTTTTTCCTCACTATCCCTGTGCTTCTGCTCTGAACTGTAGTTGCAGCAGAGAGATGAGGAAAGGGGAGATTATGAAAATATGGGAGGTATGATAGGAAATTTATTCAAATATTTTTGATCCTGACAGATTTTTTGAGTATGAATTATTTTTGTTTCTTTGTTGTGTCTCTGAACTACTGAGAGTTTGCTGCAATAATTTTTCTCATTATTACTTTTTTAGAGAAAACTACTTTCTCTTAGTTTCAGAAAATAAAGTCCAGGAAGCCGGAAGGATTTATTTTGTCACAAGTAAGAAGGCTGCATTCCAGCTGCATGTTTTTTTACATCAGCTTCAGTTTGAAAGAATATACATTTGTATAAAAGTACACAAAGTTAACATCAACTTTCTACATCAGTATACCAATGTGCAGTGCAAGTGTAAAGCATTGGTAGATTAGCATGTAGGGTTTGCCTCTTAAAAAAAAACTCAAAACAAACTCCCAATATGCAAATGCAATATGCATCCAGCTTTTCTTGGAAAAGGCGAGAATTGATTTAGACGGCAGGGAAGGGAAAGCTAGTATTTAATGTAGGTCTTCAGATTTTAAACTTACTTATTGTGGCAGATGTTTTCAGAGACAGCTGCTTATTTCTTGAGAAAACTTCCGGTTGCTTAATTTAAGAAGGGTCATATTATTAATAATTATTTATTTACTTTAGATGCGTGATTGGGGATGTTACCTGGCACACCAGATTGTGACTTCTGGAGTCACAGCCAATTTTGAAAATAGAACCCTGGTGAAACACATGCTTACTCTTTCATTTTTGTTTTATAAAATTTCCTGTTGCTGAAAGCAACATAATGCAGTGTTTTATATTAATTAGGCTATTTCACAGTGTTTTCCAGTGTTTTTTCCTTGACAAAGCTATTCAGGGTTTGGCAGCCCTTGTTAAGTTCCAGCGATCACGCCGCTTACTAGGAGTTTGTTATATTGTTGTCAAGGTAATCCTAATTTTTTGTGCGGGGAAATAAAACCCTCTAAATTTAAACTGACGTTGTTTTCTCAGCAATTTTTGTTAAACTAGTGAGTTCTTATTTTCTCTCGTTTCCTAAAGGTTTCCTTGTTAGTGGTGGTTGAAATCGGTGTGTTTCCTCTCATTTGTGGCTGGTGGTTGGATATATGCTCCTTGGTAAGAACAGAAACAAATGTGCTAAAGTCTTTTGTAACAGTGTTTATATTTGAAGCAAAAAGAAAAGTTCTGATGAGAAGAGAGTTGTTAACGTGAGTTTGACTGCACTCTTCTGTTTTCATAAATGGCATTTTCACAGGGAATAGGTTTTTTAGATATTGCCTAATGCTAATTTTGGGGGTTTTTATGTTACTAAATACAAATTACATGCTGTTACTAAAATAGCAAGATCCTAATCCTTTTTAGTGCAGTTACAAGACCACTGTGATAATGAGCTTACTTATAGGCAAACTTGTGTGCTGAATAAACCTCTTTATGTAGCCATCTTATGTGAAATGATAATGACTTTGTGTTTTAAGTTGCCCAGTCTCTTTCTGTTTTGGAGAATATCTTTGCTGAATTTGCTTGGAATGACAGTTTTTCTGTCCTGAAAAATAGAGAGTGATAAATTTGAAATGGACAAAATTAGGTTTTTTCCAGCCTTAGTAGAAATAGAGCTTTACTTAGGAATTATTTGCTTCCATCATAGTGTCACTTTGTTTGAATTGATTTATAACTTATGTAGATCCTGTTAGTGATTGAGTTGATTTATTTCTTCTTTCTGTCAGAAGAAATAAATTGATCAGAAATCTATCTTTATTTGCTGTTCTTACCATAAGTAATCCCTTTTTTCTCTGGTGTATTTATGTGTTAAAGCAAACATTTTAAAAGTTATGCTTAGTAGTATATATGAACTAGGGGAAACAAAATGAGTAGTTGTGGATGTTTGCCAAACTTATTCATATTTGTTAACTACTTGCCTCCTTCTAGGAGATGTTTGATGCCACTCTGAAAGACAGAGAATTGAGCTTTCAGTCTGCCCCAGGCACCACAATGTTTCTGCACTGGTTGGTTGGAATGGTTTATGTCTTCTATTTTGCATCCTTCATCCTTTTGCTAAGAGAGGTGAGTCTGTAAGAACAAGATTGGTACATAACACAGAGGCTTACATGCAGAACTGTTCAATTTTTCACATGTGGGTGTTGTGGCTGCCATTTTTTGTGTGTATATTGGATTCATTTTCATGTAAAAAGGGCCATGCTGGTACTTACTGCAGTGGAAAAATCATTATTTTGAGTATATTTTACTTAGAGATTTCTGGTTTACAAATAGCTGTTAAATCTGAGTGTTGCCTTCAAATGAATCTAAATGTGTTTTAGTTGTTTAAGATCAATCAGTACTTGAAAATTAAGCTTGTATTTGGTTATTGGGTCTCTACTTCTCTGAGATAATACTTTCTTTGTTCTATTTCTGTGCAATTTTGTTGAATCTTGTTCACCTAATATCCCTATTACAATGAAACTTATTTTCTGCGGCAGTCTTGTTCAAATGAAAAGTAAATACAAAGATTATATTCTCCTCATATATTGTTTTCTATTTCCTACTTCAGGTATTGAGACCTGGTGTCTTATGGTTTCTCAGGAATTTGAATGATCCAGACTTCAATCCTGTGCAGGAAATGATTCACTTGCCCATCTATAGACATCTCAGGAGGTTTATCTTATCAGTGGTAAGGACTTATCTGAAAGATAACTTTATTTGGAAAGAAAGCTTTATATGCTGGCTTCTGCACACAATACTGTGTATTTAAAGAGAAACATTTTCACCATGGAAGTGAACTGGTACTGGAAGAGGTTGCCAAAAGAATCTGCATCTTTCAATACTCAAAACTCAACTAGATAAGTTTCTGAGCCTTATCTGGGTCTGCTCAGAGCAGGTGTTTGAGTAGAGTCAGTTGGACTTTAGAAGTCTCTTCTAGACCAAGTATCATATGCCAAGCCACAGAAAATGTTTGTGTATTCAGAAGACAAGTGTTTATTACGATGGATATTGTAAATCACGTAACTTTCATGGTGCCCTCAGTTACTGCAGTAAACATTGTATGTCCAGTTCAGCCAAAACAGTACAGCAGAGGAGAGTAACTTTAAAGCTAAATTTTGGGTTGGATTGGATTCTGCTGCTGTAGCCAGTGGTGTCTGTTTCCAGATTATCATTGTAAGATACTGAAAAAAAATGAGGTTTTTTTCCCTTTACTTGTTTGCCTGAGGTTTGCTTAACATGCGGTCAAGGAAAGGTCACAGACTGTCTTTGACATAAATGTCACATGAACTGTGTAAACTGACACACCAGAAACATTCTTTGATGTACTGTATTGTTATACCTGAGGTGCTTTGAGCAGTGAAAGCTCAGAGAGGTCCTGGTTCTGTTAGAGAACCCTTCAGTATCTGAGTGGAGTTGACCTTTCCACCTTTCTGAGCATTCTATCCTTAGATAATTTTAATTCTTCAGCTGCCTGAAATTTCATGGTTCATCATATGGCCCAAATACAAGCAAAGATCTACTGGTTGCTTATGGCCTTACTCATGTTGTCACACTGTGTTGGAATGGGCAGTTACTTAAACTTCACCTTTTGATTTGCTCAGCTAATTAATTCAGAATTTTCACTGGCCTCATGCTAGCATATTGGATCCAGAATGGCAATCATTTACCATTTCAAAGAATAAATCATACCTTTCAAGCTCTTTTTTTCTATGTATTTTAAAGAAATGTCTTGTGTATGACATAAACTATTAATTTTCAGGAAGAATGGGATTCAGTTTTTCTTTTTGACATAGTTAAACACAATTTTTTTTCACATTTTTAGTCTCCAGTGGTGCATTTGTATGGAACGTAAGAATGTGTTTAAAATGTATTTATTTTTCATCTGGTTCCTTCAGGAAACAGGATTCATAAAAGTGTATTGTCTTCAGGCACTTCATGTCCCCTACTTGGTCTTTCAGTCAATTTGAAATGTGAGAAAACAGGAACTGAAAGATCTTTGGACGCTTCAGCAAGTTGCTTAAAAAGTCAGCCACTTAGAAAAGAGAGGAATACAAAATAAGTAATCCTGGTGTTGGGGAAGGGGGAAGAAAGAACAGCTCTCTGACATTGCTGTAGCTGTCAGCAGGGTTATTCTGGTGCTTATTCAGCTGCAGTCCTATTTGGCAAGGGCATCGTAGTCTACTGGTCTGCCTGGGATGGAATTTATTATCTCCATCATGGCAAATGTCCTTTCTGCACCTTGAATTGGCAGCTGAAACAGTGTTGCTAACATGGCCTGTTGGCTGTGGCTGGACAGTGCTTGCATCCTGGCATTTTCTTTGCTGCTCTGCCCTGCTCCCTCACCTCCAGTGAATAAGCTGCAGGCTGGGAGGAGGGTATCCCTGGAACAGCTGACTCAAGCTGACCAAAGGGGTATGACATCATGCTCAGCAGTAAAAGCCATGAGAAAGGAGATTGGGGGGATGTTCATGGTTATGGTGTTTGTCTTCCTGACTCACCAGAAAATTGTTGTTTGTCTGCTGATGGGAAGTAGAGTCTGAATTCTTCTTACTGTTTTGACTGCATGCTTGGTGCTTTCTCTATTAAATTGCCATTATCTCAGTCTTGCCTGCCTTCTGTTTTGTCTTCCTCTTTACCTGGAGAGGGGAATGAGTGAGTAGCTGGCTGGGTATTCAGCTGTTTGCCAGGGCTAGCCCACCACACCCAGGGAACATGTCAGAGATGGGTGGGAAACTGGGTTTGGTTGTTTCTGCTATTTGGACTAACTTGTTTACTTTCTTATTGCAGATTGTTTTTGGATCAATTGTACTGCTCATGCTCTGGCTTCCTATACGGATTATTAAGTATCTCCTGCCTAATTTTCTTCCATATAATGTTATGCTCTACAGGTGAGCATTTATTTTTAAAAAGAAGGGGTTTTTCAGTATTGCTATAACTAGAAAAAGTGTATTTGCACTCCCTGAGCATTAACGTGACGCTTTGTTATTTTGTTTTCAAATAATCTAATCTTCATTTTGTTCTAAGAGAAGTAAAGGGTAAAGGATATGGCTACATCATACAATGTGACAAATAGAAGAGCTACTTGAAAAAAGAAGCATTTTGTATTCCTTCTGTAAAGATAACTGGTCAGGGCTTTATGCTCTCAAAATACTTCCCATTTCAGCTTTCTGATAGTGAAGTTCCTTTCGTGTTTGCTTTTTTAACATACTCATTCCTGATTGTCATTGCCTCAGGAGTAAAAGATTATCTGGAACTGCATTTCTTTAATGATAGCATTTTTTTTTCTATTTCTGAATAATAATTCAAACAGTAATGATAGATGCAAATAGAGAAGCAAACTGTAATCTTAGATATAATCTTTCTCAATGTTTTTTCCTAAATTTCTTACATGCTGAAGTGCCTAACCTCTGCTCATATATAAGGAAAAACCTCAGCAAAATACTAAGAATTTTCCTTTTTGACATCCAATGTATTTTTGTATTGTGGTGGCATTAATAGGATTCAGTGTAAAAGATTTCTATTAGAATGTTCCTTATGTTTGTTTTCCTGCTCTTCCCATTGTTTCCAGTGATGCTCCAGTAAGTGAACTTTCCCTAGAGCTGCTTTTGCTTCAGGTGGTGCTTCCAGCTTTGCTAGAGCAAGGACATACAAGACAGTGGTTGAAAGGTCTTGTACGAGCATGGACTGTTACTGCTGGATACTTGCTGTAAGTAGAGAAATCCAAAATCAGTTACAACCATTGTGACCAGTTTGGTCTTTAAACACGAAGGCAACTTTACAGAAAGCTATCCCAACAAGCAGGTTTAATAGCTCTTCTACAGATACATATGTGATGACAAATTTCTATAACGATTGCTTTCTCCTAAGAAGTAGATGTACATACTTCTGGACTAGTCTTTGACAAGTAATTCTTTTGGTAAACTATTGCAGCATTTGCTTAGTGAAAGAAATATATAAAAGTATGACTAACATCTTCCTAACTCCCTATTATATGAAAATAAAGAGATAAATGTCAGCAGTGTGCTTCCATGAATCATCTAAATAAAATTCATGTGCACTTCTTGCATTTCTTACTATAAAAAGGAATAAAAAAGAAAAATTATTTAGAACATTAAGCTGAAGAAGTAAGCAACTTTAAATTGGGGGTTTTAAAGTTTTAGTTCAGACTTCAGAGAAGGATAAAACCATATCCTTGTCAAATAAAGTAAATTGTTGTACTGCCAGGCAGAGTTCTAGCACTTGAAATTATTTTTTAGTTCATCTGCTGTTTGCCAAATTAGTAAAAAGAAACAAAGGTTGCTTTTGTTTCTGTACAGTTTTCAGCTTAACTTCAAAGTATACTAGCATTCTCCCGACATGTTGCAATCTCAGGATCAAGAATTATTCTTTGCCAAGTTATTTCTGAGAAACTGAGTGACTAAATGAAAGACTTCATTGTAATCCAAAATATTTACTTTGGTTTGTCATAAGGAAACTCTCCTCACCCCCTCCTCTCTTAGTTTGCATTTTTGAAGAAGTTCTTAATTATTTTCCAAGTTTTGATTGTGTTTAAGTGTAGTGTAAACAAGAGAGTTATGGAGATGATCATAGAAATGACTTCTTACTCCGCTGTTGCAGCTGTTTAGGACAATTGCAAATTACCTCTTGAGCAATTTTACTTTAGCACAGATGAAAATATTTTGCTCTGTTGTTCTCAAAAAGCAAACTGTTGGGTAAATTTCATTGCTAATAGAATACCTGCACAAATCTTTCTCTGCAAAAGTGAGGAAAATTAAGTTCTGAATGTTCATTTTTAATCAGACTTAAATTTTGCTAATTGTATATGTGGAAAACATCAGCATAATAATTTGAAAGTAGATGGACTTTTTTCTAGGACTGATATTCTTAAAAAGTTGTGTGCAATTTAGAATCTTCTTGAAAGACTCTGCCTGCCTCTGTACTTCTGACAGCACATCCGTGGCAATGCAGCACCGTCCTTGTACGGTTTAGGTTTGAAGGCCCTTGTTTCCTGTAGAGCTTAGTGACATAACATAAAAGCTGTCAGTAGAGCCATGTGCTTACAGGAACTGAAATATCCATGCAATTCTCCTTTCACATGCACAGCGCCAACACCAGGTGGTGTTTTTGAAGCAGTCAAACAGATAAGTGATCTTTCCTTGTGATTGTATCCCAACTGCATCCACACCAGCACTTTTTTTCTAAATTGTGTTTATGATGACATTGAGTACGTTACCAAAAAACGCTTATTTTACTTTATCAGGATTCTGCCAGTGCTCCTGTATTAGTTTTGTACAACCTGTGTGGATTCTGCGTAGGCCTATATTTCTGCTTCTCATTCATACCAAGCAGAACAAAACAGAAATTTTGATTGTTACAGGGATCTTCATTCTTACCTACTTGGTGATCAGGAAGAGAATGAAAACAATGCAAATCAGCAACCTAACAACCAGCATGCTCGTAATAATAATGCCATTCCAGTTGTGGGAGAAGGTCTCCATGCAGCCCATCAAGCCATACTTCAACAAGGAGGACCTGTGGGTTTCCAGCCTTATCGTAGGCCTTTAAAGTTCCCACTCAGGGTATGTATACCTAAAACATCAAGTAAAAGGCATTTGAGAAAAGTGAGGTTTTTTTCTAAGAAAGATTTGGCCCACATTATCCAAAGTTATGTGGTAGGTCCTGTTTTATATGGTTTGCAGCTTTCTGAAGTGCAGAGTTGCAGTTATGCTCATGTAAGGCTTTTTTCAGCCTGTAACTTAAGACCTTCAATTATAATTTTATTTATAGAACCCATATTTGTTAAGTATTATGTGTCAATTGACGTCTTATTTTCTTCACAGTAAGTAATGGAGAGAAAGACAATAAGCCCCTCTCAAACAGTTCAGGTGTGCCTCTGTCAAGGCCATGGCTTTCAAGGGGGCATACTTTGGTCTTGTAACTAAGTGTATTTTAAACTATTTTGCTTTATTGAGAAAATAAATAGAGAACTTCTGTTGCTTCTGCATCTGTATTAAGCATAGAATGGCATTATATAATACTGGAACGTTCTAAATCCCTAAAATTACTAAGGAAAATTTATTGGCAAATACTTACATTTCTGGAATAATATACAGCTTAAACTAGATAACTGTTTTGTTGTTAGCAGAACTCTGAGTTAAATATAAACTTCACCACAGCTCACTTCCTGTGGTTTCAGGTATAGCTGAAGAATGGAAATAAGTGCTAACATTAGGTCACCGTGGTATTGCTTCTGAAAATTCCTTCTTTATACCCAAATGTCTCATCAGTGAAAGTGTGTTCCAGATTTAACTTTCTCTTGGTAGTCTGTTGGGATAAGGTGTTAGCTTTCCCATAGCAAGCTTGCTTGTTTTGTGGCTTTGATGATTAGTTAGGCAGAACTTCATAGCACCTGGTGCTTGAGAAATATTTAAAGAAGTTAAGTACATGGTAATTCTCTGGTAAGATGAAAACCTGACTGAGCAGCAACCACCTTCACCATTAGCTTCTGGTCACAGAAATTTGAGCACATCTGGAAGAACTTTGTCAGCAAGGTTTTCCTTATAAAACCACTCTCTTGCTCTTATGGCATACAGAGCTAGAAATCTTTCAGGATTATTTGAGTCATGCTGCTCAGTGCAGAAATTGAGAGATGATCTTTTTTTTATGTGACATAACAAAGAACTTCAGCCATTCTGGATTCAAATGTTATTTTTTACTGTTGGAACAGTTGATGGAAAGTCTTAGAAATACACAACACTGCAGGTGTTCTGAATGTACTGTGGTTAGGTTTCTTTTTGCTGATTTATTTATACAGTGAAACATCAGTATTTGAACATCCTAGTTTAGCTGCTTTTCTAGGATGATGTATTTTTTTATACTGGGGTTTCTTGGGGTTTGGTTAAATAACTTTCTTACGAACTTCCCCTCCTTTTTTTCTTTTTCCCTTTTTCAGATATTTCTTTTGATTGTTTTCATGTGCATAACATTATTGATTGCTAGTCTTATCTGCCTTACCTTACCAGGTGAGTATTATAGTAAACTATCATTAAAAAAAACTTACTATGTTGCCATGCCCAACCATGGCAGATGTTTTGAAACCACTGTTTGAAGTCAAGAGGCAAAACCGTGGAAACGATCTCATTTTTAATCATTTGTCATCAAATTGTACTAATCTAAAAACCTAAATGACAGAGATTGCTATTCCCTTTTTGTTGTAGAATAATATTCCTCTGAAGACAGGGCTTCAGGTGCTGAGACAGTCTCAGTAGTATTGAGTGAAAATTTTAATTGAATTGAAACTTTTTTAGATTGTTTCCAGGTCTTCTACATATTCTAAATATTCTGAAGGTATCATTATTGAGTACTGCAAAAACACTTGTTTGTTTTTTTTTAATAATTTGAAATAAATGAAGCTGTGTCAACCAGCATAAATTTAATAACCTGTCTGCTGTAATACCATGTAATTTATACCTTCTTCTATTAATGATCCTAAAGTCAATAATGTGTTGAGATCAAAGCTATAAATTCTGTGATGGTTTTAGTAGTAGGACATAAAATAATTCCACTGTAATACTAGGGAAATTAAAACACTATTAAAAAATGAACTGTAACAAATCAATCTCCCATATTTGTCAGAGAGCTTCAGAAACCCCATCAGTAAGTCTTAAAAAATTACATGAGGCAGTGAAACAACCCAAAGATAGCTCATATAATGTAAGTTCAAGGTTACACACTAATGCACGATTGCTGTTGCAGTTCTGAAGATCAGTGTTTAGGCTCTGAACAGTTCAGTGCTTTGTATTGCTGTAGCTCAGGTCATATTGTTGCCATAATGAAAATTTAGGTGGGAAAGGATTTCTATGTGTTTATTTGGCATAATTTCTGAAGCTGTTTACATAGTGCTTCACACATTTATGCATTATGGGTGTAGTACCAAAATAACTGTTTTATAATGAATAATATTTATGCAGGGATATTTCAGATAAATTTGACACGTAGTTTTTTGATAGGCACCCTTCCCTAATAGATCCAGAAGCATGACTGTATTTAACAGTGCTTGTGTTTTCAGTGTTTGCCGGCCGGTGGTTAATGTCATTTTGGACGGGGACTGCCAAAATCCATGAACTGTACACAGCTGCCTGTGGTCTTTATGTCTGTTGGCTGACTATCCGAGCAGTGACAGTGCTGGTTGCCTGGATGCCACAGGGTCGTAGAGTCATTTTCCAGAAGGTCAAAGAATGGTCTCTCATGGTGAGCTTTGAGAAGAAGTTTTAGTGAATTACCAAAAACTAGCTAATGGAACTTGTTTCATTTTTTGCTTGCAGGCTTTACTCTGCTATGTATACTACCTTTTGCTTTTCAGACCATTTTGAAGCTTTTGCAGCTTACAGTCCCATTGCTTAGGCTAGCTGTTTTTGGAAGGCAGTGTAAATATGCTTGTGTGTATATATGTTTAAATATGTGTATGTGTATGTTTTTCTGTTTTCCTTTAGAAGTGAATATATTGCATTATTATCCCATGTGTTATGTGTTCTCAAAGACATTTACATTTTCACATAAACCTGGAAGCTTAATTATTTACTTGTACAGTTACTTGAAATTAGCAAATGGAAAAACCTAATAAACTTGATAGTTGATGATGACTGTCTCTGCAAAGTAGCTTGATGCATATTTTCAGATAGACCTTCATCAGCTGTTGAACTTGTGTTGTTCAAATAAAATATATTTTTCTCAAAAATATTAATTATGAGTTGCTGACATTCTCAGCATGAAAACAAATATATTCCTCACCTTTTTCTCTTGGTTTTGATTATGAGGATTTCTTGCTAGTTCCTTTAAACATCAATAGCATAAATGGTATCTTGTTAAGGACATTTTAATGTGCTTATTGGTTTGTTACACTGTACATGTTCTTCATGTACTGCCATGTTTCCCAAATAATCTCTTCCATCGTTTTGATTTTAGATTCTTTAAGATCTTAGCTTCTTCAAGAAAATTCAGAATTAAAACATAATTTCTACTTTTCTTTGTCCCTTTTCTTTATCATGTTAATTAAGTCAGGCTAGTTTTGTATGATGCAGTTAAATTAAGAGAATTTCAGAATAAATAAAGATTCAAGCACGGTGTTCTGACTCCTCCGTTTTTAAGTCAAATATTCCATAATGACTGAATTTTTAAGGTTTGTTTTGCTCCAGAGAAATTTTTTTTTTTTTTTAATTCTTCAATTTCCCAACATACAAGCATATGCAATACATTGAAGTGCCATTGGATAGTATTCCCTATTGATAACAGTCAATGTGATTTTAATGGTTTAGAATTATATGAATACTAGTAGGCACAGTCATGTTTTTTTCTGGAATTCCTATTCTTATGGAATAGGACTCAATCTTGAAAACTTGCATTGCAAAACTATGTATGTAGTAAAAATTATTTCTAGGGGTGTATATGTGTGAAATAGAGGAGTGTAGCTTTGTGGTTTTTTTACCAGGGCTGTGTATTTATGTAATTAAGTTACATTTTTGAGTTTAAACAAAGACTGTTATGGTAAGCATATTAATTAAATATCTTGGATTTTTTAGATAATGAAGACATTGATAGTGGCTATACTGCTCGCTGGTGTGGTTCCACTTTTGCTCGGTCTTCTGTTTGAACTGGTCATTGTCGCCCCTTTGAGAGTTCCTTTGGATCAAACACCTCTCTTCTACCCTTGGCAGGTCAGTGGCTCCCATTCTTTTGCTGCTGTTGATGGAAGGAGTATGGGCTGCCTTTTTTCATGTGGATTCAGAGCTTCAGAGCATTTTCCACAAATATGTTTGTATGTGGCAAAGGCAGCCAATCTGGATGTGAGGATTATTTTAACCAAAAGAATATGCTGAGGAATTTAAACTATGAAAAGCTGAACTGTTGTGAGGTGACATCAAAGGTTGCATTTCAGTGATCAGCTACTTTTCCAGTAGCATAATTGTAAAGTTATGTAAGAAGTTAGTATATCTCTATGTATGTATGCACAGATATACATATTCTAATTGTTTTGGGAAGCTTTCTGCATACAGTTATTCAGCAAAACGTTCTGGTGATTTTTTTTTTTTCTTGTAAGATTTAAATTCAGTGATGAGGCACATTACAAATGTAATTTTTATATGATTAAGGATCATGCTGATTTTGGGCTGAGTTGCCAAATCATTAATAAAAATTTTGAGGTAGTTGTGTTTTATTACTCTTCAGTCAAGTCTCACAGGCTGAGTAAAAATTTTTGTCCTGCAAGTTGGGAGATGAAATGAAGATACAGTGGATTGAATGACAAATGCTTCCAATCACCTAGGCTGAATTATGAAAGAAGTCATAACTCAGAGAAACCCAACTGAGGGGACAATAGCTCGAAACATCTAGAATGCCATTACTAAATAACAGGAAAATGTTCAGGGATGGTGACTTTCTAAGCTGCCCTGAGCTTTCCTTTACTTTCAGTACCCTAATGTTTGAAAGCCATAATACAAAGAAGAATTTGGCTACGAATTCAATTATTCCATTATTTTAAAATCCAAGTATATTTTTGAACTCAGTAGATGACCTGAAAATCAGGACGTCATATAATTACAGTGGTAGATGAACATGGTTTCCAAACAGGAAACCATTCTTTCATTTGTAAAGAATTTGTAATGCTAGAGATTAAAAAATTTTTTACGATTGCATATTAGTTCTTTAAAAGTTTTAAAATTAGTATATTGAAAAATTTTATTTTCATGTAGCAGAACTTCTTCAAAATATAGGATAAGTAGGATTTGAGACTTGTTCTAAATCAACAAGGAGCTATCAAAACTGAGACTGATTTGCATTTTTCCTAAAAGAGAAAAGACAAAGGTTACATCCATAAATAAACATGAATTTAACATAAAAAAATTTAACACTGGCGCTTTTTGTAACAATTTTTAAAATTTTTTAGAATTGACGTTAACAAAAGTTGTCTTTTTAAATAATTGGTTAAAGAAAATGTATTTCCCCAGCAGTTTAAGAAAGTTAATTAGTCTATGATATCCCAAGTCTTACCAGTTCTGAGCTGTTTATTCTACTTTATCAACCTATGTTTTGCATTCTATTTTTGGTGGGTTTTATTGAAAATCTCTTACAAATATCTGTAATCCAGAAAGGATGGACTTATGCTGTGTTTACTAGAAGCTAGTAGTTATAGTGTCCTAATTCCATGCCATAATAATTGCAGTTTATGTTAAAAGATAAATTCTCCTCTGAATAGTATGACTTTTTTTGTGAAGAGAATTGCCTTGCTTTAAGCTTCTTACATCAGGGACAGTTTTGGGAATAATTAAACTTCAAAAGAAGGAAAATAACTTGTTTCCTGATGCATGTGGACATCTTTGTATCTTTTTCCTATTATTTTTATAAAGAAAGGAAATTGACTTCCTTTTATGTAAATTAGTTGTACCAGAATGTTAGTCAATTGCTTTAAGTCTAATGCTTTTATTTTGTATTTACCTGTGGTTTAATAGTAGCTCTCCTGGTCCCAGGGAGCTAAATTTACAGATGTCAGTTAATCTTGAGAGCATCTTATTTTTCGTAAGAATTTGCCGATGATGTCTGTCTTTGGAACAATGTTCCATGTAAATGGAAAAGTAATTATATTTTCACTTGTAGGTAATATTAACACATTGCTCTTAAAGCTTTTGGTTGTCTGACTTGTTAAAGATATGTTAATGCTAACACTATAAATTTTCACAAAATTAGGACTGGGCTCTTGGAGTTCTGCATGCCAAAATAATTGCTGCCATAACACTGATGGGTCCCCAGTGGTGGCTGAAAACTGTTATTGAACAGGTAGGGAAAAAATGTCCTTGTGAGTTATCTGTATAATACATTTCTTATGTTTCTGATTGTGTCAGAAAACAGTGTTACTCTTGCAGTAATGGAGTAATTGAGTAAAATTCAACTAGTCTTGTGAAAACCTTTTAAATTGTATAGCCTAATCCATTAAGGTACACTTAACAGTAAAACAAAAATTCAGAAATCTGAATTCAAGAAAATGCTTTGTATACATATATGCATTTTAATCAGGTTTGTAATAAAGTGGGAAAGAAACATGATTATTTCTTCAGATTAAGTCTATGTGTCCAAATACTTGTCCAAATATTGGGGTATTTATATCCACAACTCAAGAACACAGAATTTTGCCTTCTCTGCAGCTGTAGGAATTACCCCATTCATAGATCAGTAGAGATGAAAGACATTATTTCTGTTGCCTTTTAATTACTAAGCAACGTAGAACAGTTTCTCTGTGCAGTTCAGAGTCACATGGCCTGTTGTTTTGTCACAAGTATTTTTTCTTGGTTATAACCATTAAATTCCACAGTTGTCATCTCAGTGAAGTATCTCAGTGGTTTGTCAGAAGGTAATTTTTCAGCCCTGCACTGTATGTGACACCTGTGGTGCATGTCCCAACCTGTGTACACAAGGTGCCTCTCATGAGTCATTCTAGCACATAGTCCTAGTTAATAAATCACTTCAGCTGTCGCACTGCAGAATATAGTCTTAGTCGGGGAGTATGTTTTGATGCATACCACGGCTCCCTCTTCCATTCTGAATGCTCTCCAGGGGCTGTTTACACACTCTCCTGAGCCTTCCAGAGTGTGGGACAGAGGCCATTGTTTAGCTGTAGCTGGTAGCCATTCAGAACTGGTCTTTTCCCATGCTTAATCTGGTTACGTTTTGACCTTAGCTTCTGGTAGTAACTGCAGAAACTTAAGAATTGTGGAGGCCTTTTTTTCAGACAGACTCTACGTACAGAGGCTGTGGTCTGCCTGACCAAGTACAAAATAGGATTCTCTTTCTGCCCATTACAAAATTTAATAATTTATTCTATAGCATAATACAGGATCCTCTTCAAGTAAGTTAACAGTGCAGAATGTGCCCAGGTCACCCACAAAACCATCGTCCACAGCTCTACTAAATGATCTTTCAGAAGGTGTCTTGCATTCCTGCAACTGAATCACAACTCTATTCCAGATTAAGTTGGTCTCTTGGGCATTGTTTAAATCCTAGATTTAAACAATTTTAATTTCCTAGAACCCTCATGATGTAAATTGGTAGAGTTTTTCCATCGTCAGCTGTGGCCATGGGAATACCTGTTTCCTTTCATAAGGAGAATTGTGTAAAAACCTTGTAATTATTACTGTTAAGTGCAAAGCAAGGCTTTCTTGATGGATATGTTCTACTTCTAACTTGTTCCATTTTAGGTATATGCAAATGGAATTCGTAACATTGACTTACACTTCATCATCCGTAAACTGGCAGCACCCGTTATCTCTGTCCTCTTACTTTCCCTTTGTGTGCCGTACATCATAGCTTCGGGTGTTGTACCTTTACTGGGTATGTATGCATTCGGAACACTTGTTTGTCATCTCATGGTTTGCATCAGTGTAAATATGTTTGTGGAAATAAAACTTGTAACTCTGGTGTATAAAGAAAAAGAAACAACAATGAAACAAAAAATGAAACAACCCACAAAAACCCACTTCTTCTGCTGACAAATGTAAATGTTTAAAGACTTCCAAGAGTCACGCCATGTTCCAGGAATATTGTCCAAATGCTTCTTGAACTCTGTCAGGCTTGGTGCTGTGACCGCTTTGTTGGGGAGCCTGTGCCAGTGCCCAACCACCCTTCACCAAAGGTGAAGAACCTTTGTCTAATACCCAGCCCAAACCCTTCCCTAACACAACTTGAGGCTACTCCTTGGGTCCTGTCACTGATCACCATAGAGAAGAAATCGGTGTCTGCCTCTCCTCTTACCCAAGAGGAGGGGCAGACACTGGTTTCTTCCCTGTGCATTTTGGGTATCCAGCTAGTTTGGGAAAGGAATGATTAATTAATTTCTTCTTTGGACAATCAGCCTATTATTTTAGTCCCTCTAGGTGCTGTACTGAGCTTGAGGCCATCTTTTTCTGACTTGTCAGATTCTAAATGAAGCTTAAAACAGGTGAAAATGTTTTGAGGTTTTAATAGTATTAAAATGTAGATTTTAAATATGTAGGGTTTTTTCAGACTTTCCCATCTCCTCATAATTGAGGTGAATTATTTGATTAGAACAAGGGTAGATGAGCTTTTTCATCAAGACATGTCTTTTACTAGTTAGTTTTGATGTTAACAACATGTTCAAGTCCCATTTTATGCTTCAGTCTCACTTGAATGCTGACTTTTATTGCATTGAGTTTTCTGATACAAAGAGTAAGCAAATAAACAGAAGTTAATAGGCAAAAAGAACTGATAAGCCCTTTTTTTTTCTCTACTGTGGATTTTCACTCTCTTAATGGAAAGCTTTCCACTTGTAGTACTTCAGATTAAAAAGAACAGCAGCTGTCATGTTGGATCTTTGATGTAAATGAATGTGTAATTTATTTCACAGCCCTTCTACTGAAGTTACAGTATAACAAAAAGTATGGAAGCACATAGAGAAGTAGAAATACGTGAGTTAGTTCAGCAATATTAGAACGTCTAAGGATTGTATCTTTCTTTGTAGGAGTTACTTCTGAAATGCAGAACCTCGTTCAGCGACGGATTTATCCTTTTCTGCTTATGGTGGTGGTTTTGATGGGAATTCTGTCCTTCCAAGTCCGCCAGTTCAAGCGCCTTTATGAACATATTAAAAATGACAAGTGAGTATATAGTGGGTTTTTAAAAACTTTTCTCCTTTATATATATATCTGTATATACATGATTACTTCAGGTTGAATTCAGGTGTTACAGATACTTAGGACTAAAACAGTTTTTAAGAAGTTTTCTAACAAGTGACTCAAGACAGACAAACTGTTGTTGGCAGATGTTTTATCTGTGGTTCAGGCAGATAAACACAGGAATAGACTGACTTCATAAAGGGAAGACACTCCCCCGTGTTTAACATGAATGTGTTTTCCCACAAATGAAGCTGACTGTTTGTCTCATCTGTAGTCTTGAATGACAAATGAATGTCATGAAGTATAACATAGCTGGAAGTTAAAATCATGTCTCAAGCTGCTGCTTATAAAACCATTTCTTCAACCTTTTCTGCATAACTGTTTTTCTTACTCTTCCTCCTCATTAGTCCAGCTAATCTGTTAAAGAATGTTCAATTGATTTGATAGTTTGTCCTTACCAAATTTTGTGTATTTTTCTGATGTTTTCAGTAATTATTACTCTGTATTACTCAGATGCCTGATAAAAATAATGATTTTCCTATTATTTTCTGGTTATCTTGCTTAGTTTAACCTTTTTTGTGTGTGTGTTATTACATTATTTTTGGTGTTAATTACCTTTTTATGGGCTATTAAGAAGATTAGCAACTAATTTTCCTAGGCTTCTTTGGTATTGAAAAGAAATAAATGAGTTAGTTATGTTCATATCCTGAGTTGTCCTATAAGAGCTTTGCTTTCCAGTAACTACAAAAGGAGTCAAACCTAAAATGACTTCTTTTAATCTTAAATGTTTAGAAGCAACTGAAAAGTTATAAGTGAAAATTAGTTTGGTATTACATTAGCGTATTAAATGCTGTAACATTGTAGACAAGAAGTTTGTATGACTTAATTATCTCATTTCAGGAAGTAAGCAGACACAGTCATGGCAGCCAGTAGAGATTTGTGCTTTAGAAATAAGCATAACTAAATCTTCTGTGTAACAAATTTTAAAAGCATATACAAGTTTTTCTGACATTCTAAAATGTACAAAGAATACGCAATGGTTGTTGGTTATGGTACCATAAGAAAAGGTGAAAAAGTTCCTAAAGGAAATGACAGATCTTAGGGAAAGAATTCACACGTGTGTAGGGGGCTCGTGTATGCACAGAACTGGCATGCAAATGTAGGGAGTGTGAAAAGGAATTTAGCTGTCAAAAAGTGTGGATCAGTGATATAGAGGAAGAAAGGAATAATGTGAAAGATTAAAAGTGTTAAGTTGATGAGATAGTTAAATTCTGTTTCAATGTCACACTAAAGGAATCTTGCACTCCTTAAACTTTCCATGGAGTAGCATCAGGATATTTTCTCTTCCTTTAAGAAAGATCAAGCTCTTCCTTTACAATTTACAGAATAACTTTTCACTGAAATGAAAAAACTGCTTTAGCAGCAAAGGAGATAGAGTGGATTTGTGTTACAAAATAGCATTACTTTGTGTTAATTCCTGTTTTTACTGTGATCCCAGGTACCTTGTTGGACAACGACTTGTGAATTATGAACGGAAGTCTGGTAAACCAGGCACATCAACAGCTCCACCTCAGTCTTCACAAGAATAGATGGTCATATTAAACATCTTGACCTTCCCTTTGCCTTTACATGTCCTTTTTTCATAGACTCTTCTTGTCTTTGGATATCTCTCCCAATAATATTCTCAGCAGTGTTTTGGCTTCTGTTGGTAGCATCCAGATAGCAGTTAAGGCTCTGTTTCTTATCTGCATTTTCTGATGTTGTAAATGCTGTCTGAGGTCTGTATATGTGTATATAGAAGTGTCCTGACACCCTAAAACCTTGGATTAAAAAGAATGTGCATTGTACATCTTTAAAAAGTATATTAATTTATTAAATCTAGTTGTCACTTTATTTTGGACTGCTGTTCTGTTGACAATGTGCCACAAAGCAATAGTGTGAAGAGGCAAGACGTTTTTATAAAATTTGGAGCTTACTTTATGGTGTTCATAACAGTTCTTATTGTAGTAATACAGTATGATTTTTCATGAGTGGAAAGGCCATATAGAGAATATCAAAAGTAAATAACTGTCTTACAGTCAGCAATGAAATTGCTGTGTTGAGAACATAATGAACTATGTATCTTACTGTCCAGTCTTTTTTATTATTTTGTATAACACCAAAGCTGTTGTACATTTTTCTATTGCCTGATTGTTTTTCATGTGTCAGAGTTTGTAATATTGTACAGTTGCTGTTAAATCAAGAAAATACTTCCTCTTCTGAGAATTGAGATGTACTTGTTGAGGCTCAGCTGGATTTTTCTATTTGGTTGAAGGGGGTAGATGAGTGTTGGCTTTGGGATCAGGATTTCATGAATTGAAACAGTAAGTAAAAATTTACTAAGGCTAGGTGATGGAAGCATTTAACGGTACCAAGAAAAATTAGATAGGTTCACAACTTAGTAGCCAATTTCTTATCAATATTAGGCTTTTTCAGAATATCAAGAAAGGGGATGAACCTTAACTGATGTGCTTGCACAGCAGAAGGAGCATAGTGTAAGCAACGTCCTGACCTGATCCTTTAGTTAAAGAACTTGAAATCTTCTTTCTATAAGCTACCAAAGTTGAAAATTGTAGTATGAATTTTATATTGCACAATTACTTTTAAAAAAACCAACCCAACCAAAAAAAATTCTCTCAGAATTGGTCACTGTGAATTTTATGGGAATAATACTGAGGAAGTGATTGATCATGTACCATTTATGGCCTGAGGGGCAGGGAAATACATATGCTATTAAACAGGCAAGGAAAAGTTATCAGGTTTCTTTGCAAGAACACAGTCAAACAAGAGCCACCAAATCAAGTCTGTGTTATTTCTATATGTAGATAGAGTTCTTTTGCAGTAATGTCTGGGGGTGGGGGTTATGTAGATAAAGAAAATACATAACAGTATCACAGAGCTTTAAGTAGCATCAAATCACATGCTTAGATTGCAGTATCTTTCCTGGACCAATGCAGAAAATGTGAATATCCATTGCAGTAATGAGAAAATTGATGGAACATTTAACTTGCTATTCAGTACACTCTCCTTCAGTATTCTGTACTTTACCGTGTGTATATAATTATTACTTGAGAATCTGGCAGGTGCTTTTAAAGTGTCATCTCCTTTTATTGATGTTGCATCTCTGATCTCACATGGTATGAGCTAATGTGGTCCAGGCTGTGATGGTGGTACTTCATTGTTTTGGTGTCTGGACTCATATTCTAAGGCAGCAAGCACAAGCCAAATGCATCTGAATCTAGTGGCAGGAGGATTGGGCTGTCACCCTCAGATCCATACTATTTTATAGAATTGCTGTTGTCCTGATGGTTTTAAACCACAAATATTACTGTTTGGAGTGATTTATTAGGAAATTTCCAGTGAAATGAAATCATAGAAAAATAGCCAAAATATTTTTTCATTTCCTGTTGCTGATTTAATGCTAAACTGAGTATATATTCGCCCCATATATTTTTGATGTGCATAAATATTGCATTTGATTATTTACAGTGGTGTACATTGTGGGACAGATATATTTTCACAATAATAAATTCACTGGTAACATACATTCTTACTTATGCCAAGATTATGTTTTTGACATACCTTTCCAAAATGGTCTTGCCACTCAAATATTGCAAACACTACTGTGCATCATGCAGAATTTGCAGTAGTGTGGTATTTGTAACTTTTTGTTTTTATTCGGACAAATTGCTCTTAATATTAAAATTTATTAAGAAAAAGCCTTTGTGCTGTTTCTTATTACTGGTATTTTACAAGTCATTAAAGAAAATAGCAAATCGGGCCAGTCATGCAATGTGAACTGCAGCTATTTTGATGTAGCTTACATTATCTGTATTTGCTTTTATTTTATGGAAAACTGGTTTCCAATCCAACTGTTGTGGTGGCATTTGCACTGCTTTATAGATTCCAGGTGAAGTTTGTTTCCAGAACTGTCCATTGTGAACTTTCCAGAAATCTCATCTCCTTATTTTTACACATTTTTGAAAGAATATGGAGGTTGTAGAGAACAGGAATTAAATAACAGTACTTTATAAATTGTTTTTAATTTCAATGGTTTGCCTTATTGTGTGCTGTGTACTCCCTGGCATAGAAACTTGATAAGTAAGCTTGTAAGTGAAGTGGCTGTTTCTGAGACAGCTGATGAGCACTGCACCCGCAGCTTCCATCTGTGCTGCAGTGATGCAGAGTGGTGTGGACTCCTGTTACTTTTCAAGTTGGAAAGAATGTGTGTGTGTGTACTCTTCCACCATAACTTGTGTTGACCTTGGTCTTGACTGGAGGGGTTGGAGGTGTGTACTGGCTCAATTGTATCCCCTTTGTGTGTTGAGAAACTAATGCTGCTGTTAGTTGTACAGGCCTTCATAAAAGAACTGTCAGATGGCTCTGTAGCTATCTTGTGCATATTGAAAGAAGTTAATTGCAGCATGGCTTTGACTGTTTTTACACAGATTATTTTATATTGATTAAAAATAGTTGAAACTCTGCATCTGTTCTGTCTGCCCCTTCTCTATTGAGTGAAGTCCAAGTTACTTGATTTTTTTTTTCTGAGGGCCCTTCCATACCTGTGACTGCTTTGTGTCAGTGACTTCCTCAGTAAGACGACAACTCCAGCCTATTACAGTGTTTGCATCACTTTTCAGCTGAGTGCATTAATTCTTTCCTTGCCTTCCCCTATGCTTGTGTAAAACTCTTCATAAAAATCTTCACAGCAGCTGCACTATTCTTCAGAGAACTCTGAAAAAGCCTCACAAAGGCCTGTACCTCACAAAGCACAAATGACTGGGGTTTGATTGCCTGGCATGCTGATCAGCATAATTTTGTTTCCTTGGACGTCACTGTCCATTTTTTTACATTTAGATTGGAAAAAATTTGTGGTAAGGGTCAGTGTTCTTATTCTGCTTGCCTTGGGAATAATGGCCACTGTACAGCCTGGGCAATGAGTGAGGTTCTTGGCAGAAATGATGGTACAAATAGTAAAAACATTAAACAAAGAATTGAATCTTGGTAGTGTAATGAAGTTCAGGATGCAAAATAAAAGAAGCTGTTTTCTGAAACAGATGAGGAAGCAACTTTTACGAAGCATAATGGTAAGTTAGAGCTCTCTTAGAATTGCATAGTTAACAGCAGTTTTTTTAAACTGCTTCTGGTTTTAATTTCTTCATTAAGAAGTAACCATAAATTGAGAAATTATTTGATGAAATCAAAGTTACTCAATAATGGAAAATTTTAAAAGACTGTATTTCCAGAGGTCAAATACAGTTTCAAAATAAATGGAACGTTTTTAGTATAATACTGAGAGATGGGGTAATGGCAAAATTCTTTCACAGCTCTGCATATCAGTTTATCTGCTTACCTGCTGTTAGCTCTTACGTGTACTGGCTAACACCCAAGCTGCATTTTCCCCTATAGAAGGTGAAGTCAACATCTGGAGGTGTCTGACATCAGGTGTGGGAGGAGGGGATAATATTTAACACTGCTTGCCTTTTAAGGGCTGTTTGTTTTCCTGGAAAAAGATATTAGTTTTCCTTAGACTTCCTTGTTGCTTACAAAATCAGAGAACACTGCAAAGCTCTTTTATCTATATTGGATAGAATTTCTGTATTAGAACCTAAATAGTGCAGAGCTGCACTGGTGTGCCATGTTCAGCCGATACAAATTGCATCAGTGACTTTCTAGAGTTAGGTAAGGAATGTGATCTAAAAATAGTGCTGGATTAGAATGGAGAGTCCATGGGATATTTTGACTAGTTGTTAGCAGGAGTCATGGAAGTAGGAAGCAGCAGAAATTGTAAGGTATGCTGCTTTATAGCAACACTTCTGGCAGTGCTGCTATAAAGCAACAGTTACATCCATGTATATATTTTTAAACGTTCTTTATATACAAGACTCAGTATTATACAGTGGGAGGAAATACTTGTAGGAAGCAGCATAGATTCATATAAAGAGAGTATTTACAAGAGCATATAGTGACAGGACAAGGGAGAGTGGCCTCCAACTGAGAGAGTAGAGTTAGATTAGATGTTACTGGGAGGGTGATGAGACACTAGAACAGGTTGTCCAGAAAAGATGTGGATGCCCCATCACTGGAAGTGTTAAAGGCCAGGTTGGATGGAGCTCTGAGTAGCCTGGTGTAGAAAAAGTACTCGTGCCTGTGACAGGAGGGTTGGAACTAGGTGATCTGTAAAGTCCAATCCAGGCCATTCTATGATTCTATGAAAATACATTTCATTAAGTACAGAAAAAAATTTCCACCTACATACTGCTGTTTCCCATAATACAGTGTGACAGCTTTACACATGATTCCACTGCACTGGACCAAATTGCTTGAAGAATTAAGAGTATGACATTTACTTTTGAGCATGTTAAGGATAGTTACGAGTACATGCAAGGACCACAGATGAGAGATAATATAAAACTTGCTGTTTATCTGTTATCACTAGACACCTTTGAAAAACTGCATTGTGAAATCAGTTGAATTGAATTCAATTCTATAAGATCCTGCAGGATAATGTAGATGAGTAGATGCTTTAAAACAACTAAAGGATAAAAATGTATGTCATTATATGTCAGAAGTTTGCTGTTTTCATTAGTTACAGGAATCTGCAAAGTATTGAGGCCAAATAATTAACCTGTAGCTTATGCTAAGTATTCATATTTTATAAAAGATTAAACAGTTGTTAAAATGTGTGCTTATTGCTTTCCTGAGACCACCATTTTATCTTTGTCCTGCATGGCCTTGCATGTTCATCAGTGGGGACATGAGGTGGATTAAAAAGGCCTGGCTACAAATAAGATTGTGTGCTTCTGCTTGGCCTGTCTCAAGCACCCAAGTTTCTTTGGAGCAATGGCTTGTGAAGGCTTTATGAAGTGAATAATCCTATTACCAAGTTGATTTGGGTGCTTGGGCTGTGTACAGTCCTTGTTAGAAGGCACAGGAGGGGTATGGCTTTGTAACCAAGAGATGTGCCTTTACAGAGGATGCCAGTCAGGTTACCTCCGGTGCTGTTTTTATCTGCTGTGGAAAGAAGACTTTTAGCTGTCCACCAAGACTTTGTGGCAGAGAGGGAACTTTGGTTCCTCACGTTCTGGAGCAGTGGGAGAGCCCACGTGGCCTCATATTGTCAATTTGGACCAGCAGGTGCTGAGAAGCAACTGGTGCGGGCTGCGCTGCTCTTGGTGGTGGCAGACTCTCAGTGGTGCTGCCGTCCTGAACGTCCAGGACTGTGGAGCCTGACCAGAAGAGGTTGCTTGAGGCTGAGCTATCCTTGGAAGTAGCAGCTGCTGCAAGTAAATGGAATTTTGAGGATACATTGCCCTGTCTCTTTTTCAGCTCAGTTAGTATTTCTTCACGTTTCATCCAAGCCAGGAAAGGAGGTGCAAGAATGCCAAAGGCAAGGTGGACATGCCACCCTAACACTGCTCACCCAGTAGAGCATCCCTGTGGCCAGGGGCCATGCAGGGGCCAGCAGGCTCCAGGGAACCTAGGCACTGCAGGAACCAGTCTCCCTGTCATGGGCTCTGCCAATAACATGGTGCTAAAGTGTTCACAGAATCACAGAATCAAATAAGTTGTAAAAGATCTCTCAGATCAAGACCATCCTAGCAACTAGACCATGGCACTAAGTGCCTCATGCAGTCTTTCGTTGAACACTACCAGGGATGGTGAGTCCACCACCTCCCTCGATCGACCCTTCCACTGTCTAATTGCCCCTTCTGTGAAGAAATTCTTCTTACTGTCCAACATAAATGTCTTAATGTCCCCTGTTACAGCTTAAGAGTAGGGCGTTTTTACATCACTGCTTCTCTGGGGGAAGACGCTGACCCTCCCCTGCCTACAGCCTCCTTTCAGGCAGCTGTAGAGAGCAAAAGGTCAGCCCTGAGACTCTGCTTCTCCAGAATAAACATTATCCCCTAGCTGCTCCTCCTAGGACTTGTGCTCCAGGCCCTTCAGCAGCTTTGTCACCCTTCCCTGCACACCCTCCAGCACCCTCCAGTTTCTCCTTGATGTGAGAGGACACAGGCTTCGAGCTGTAGCCTCATCAGGACCGCGTACAGGGGCAGAATCATTTCCCTCACCCTGCTGGTCACAGACTGCTGCTGATACAGGCCGGGATGTCACTGGCCTCTTTGGCCACCTGGGCCCACTGCTGGTTCATGTTCAGCCCACTCCGACCCACCTTGCAGGTATCTGTGAATTTGTTAATGGTAGACTCAACCCCTTATCCATGGTTTGTGCCTTTTCAAAAGTTTGTACACAGCAGGTGCTGCAGTTTCCCTTTAAACCTCTCCGCCATCAAGTTTTTCCCCGCCCAGCTCCCGGGCCGCCCGGCCGGCCCGTCCCTCGGCGTTGCCGGGCAGCGGGGCCGCGGAGCGGGGCAGGTGAGGGGCCGTGCCCGGGCCTTCCCCGAGCCCGGAGCGGCCGCCGCGGGGGTGTCCGGGGGTGCTGGGGCCGTGGGGCGGCTCTGGGCTGTCTCCGGCCTGCGAGGGGCCGTGCCGGGGCCGGTGCCTGCCGGCGCTGCCTCCGCACAGCTTGGGGCGGGTGGGCCATGGGCACTGGCGGCTCGGCCAGTCCCGTCTGCGTGCGGATACGCCTTGGCCTTGGCCTTGTTTCCTGAATACCTGAGGCTGGCATGGGGTGCGTGGAAGGAAACACAAGTAGAAAATAAGAGCTAACAGGAACTGAAAGTGATGCCGTTATCTTTGTCTCTAGCTAGAGTAACCCATGACAGAGTAACGATGGCGAAGGGGTGCAGAGGCTGTTGATCATTAGGTGTGTGTTTATATGTACAGGAGGTTCCCGCAGAACATCGAGAAACCCTTTTTCCCTGTGAAGGTGACCAAGCACTGGCACAGGTTGCCCAGGGGGGTGTGGAGTCTCCATCCTTGGATATTCTTGAAACACACCTGCACATAGATCTTGGGGACCCTGCTCATAGATTGTGCAGGGGGTCAGACCAGCTGGATTCATTAATTCCTCCAGGAAGTCTCTGGCAACCTCTGCCTTTCTGTGAGACTCTGTGACTAATGGCTTACTGTAGAAAAGCAGCTCTTGCAACTTTTTTCCTGATTATATTTTTATTCTTGTATTTGATTGCTTCCCAAGGGTACATGCACGCACACCTGTATTCCTTCCTCAAAGTTTTTCTGTTGTCCTGAAATCCTCAGGTTTTTTTGCCTTCAGCTTCAGTTCCTTGGCTAGAGTTGTGCTTTTTGAATCATTCCTGAAAGTGTGTGACCAATGTGGTAATTAAATGTGCATTTTGAAGTCTGTTCCTGATGCAGATTGGCTGCATTGGAGTTGTGAAGATGCTGTACCCTGTCTGCATTTCTCTATAAATAAAGTTCTAAGTATGGTTTGATCCTCAAAGGACCCTTGAGCCACAGCAGTTCCATTGCTCTATCACTGACTTAAAATTTTTTTATTTTCCACTACAGGAAAATTCACGTGAGAAAGCCACCTACCAGGTACTCTTATCTTAAAAATTAAAAAAGAAGTCTATAAGGATAGAGGATTTTGTTACATTGGTGCCTTTCTTGATGATGTTGCTTTTACTGCTCGTCCTGTCTGCATATAACTAACTGTTTTAGATTCTTGTTGCTAAATCAACTTAAGCATGCCATATTTTGTCCTGGAAATTATGAGTTCCCCACCAAATGTGCCCCATTGCTACGATGGGAGAAGGACCATACAATAGCCTATCTCTGTCCCTTCTTTTGGATCCTGGGAAACAGGATTCCTTGCAACAAATGAGTTACATCCTGAATGAGACAAACACACCTGTAGAGCTGTATGAGCAAAGTGCGATATGTGCTTACAGTGCACATGAATGTTTTGTTCATCACTGTAATTGTTTGATGTCAAATCTGCCATGAGCACAAATTAGTAACTTTTTGCTACAGCAGTTTTGAATACAGAGTAGAAACTTGGTCATCTGCATACTCTGGCATCTGTACAAAAATGTCAAGATTTTCCTTGGCATGCAGTAGTGAGTTGTCAGTGTAGATACCTTTCATATTGGCATGTGTGCTGTGATGTGTCTGGACTGCCCATTTGACAAATTTTTGTTGTGGTAGGTTTGAGGAGAAAAATCAGTTTAAAACTCTCTGAAACCGCATGTTAAAATAGTAGTTCTCACTCAGCTGTGCCCAAGCTGCAGTGTTTTACTTGGTGTAGCCACAAAATCTTTTAGAGCCACGCAGGACTTGTCTGTTTACCCTTCCAAGTCTGTAAACTGTCCAGTAGCCCCAACTCTCGAGTAGGACAGAAGGGAATTTGGGGACAGGCATTGTTTACTCCAATGTGCACACAGTTTTTCATTCATATTTTGCATCTGTGAATTGCTGTTTTATTTCTTTCAGGTCTTTGTGACTGAGCACCATGCCTCTTCCAGAAACCATGTTCTGTGCTCAGCAGATCAAAATCCCCCCGGAGCTACCTGATATTCTGAAGCAATTTACTAAAGCTGCCATTAGGACTCAGCCTTATGATGTTTTGCAGTGGGCAGCTGCGTAAGTACAATGTTCATCTAATAACAGAGAGCTATATGTATGGAGCCTCAAAACCTCACTCTCCTCTTTACTGTATAGTGGACGTAGCTTTGAATATTGCATCAGCATATGCCTTGCATATACACTTCTATGTATTAATGCAGCATATAAGTCTTTAAAAATAGTGTGGTATTTTATTTTCTGTTTCCTTGAGGTTTAGGACTGGCTTAATTCTGAAATAGCTGCATTTTCATACAGAAAAATACATCTTAATTTGCTTTTTGTTATTAGTTTTTCTATCTGAAAGGCAAACTCTTTTTCCGTTTGGTTTGGTTTTTCTTCTCTCATCTGAGATTCAGTTCTTGGAATTTAAAGCAAAAAGTAGACATTTTCTTTCTAATCCTTAAGCTTGGTTAGTTTATCTTCTTTCTTTCTGGGAAAAGTGTCTGAAAAATTGCACCTTTGAAGTGATAATCCACATAATAAATCTCACACTATAGAGTTGATTTAGATGTTTAAATGTTTCTTCTTTAACATTAGTTTTTTTCTTTTACCTCAGCTGCTCACTATAATTTTTGCCTGTCCTATGGTTTGTGTGGGCAAGCTCTTGAAAGGTGTCTGTGAGATGTTCTCAGCTGGGGGCATTGGGAAACGTCTATATTGTGTACATGTCGGAGGGTAGGCTGTTAACAAAGCCAGGCTGGCGTCTGGCTTGTCTGTTAAAACGAAAATAACCTGAAGCTGAATTGTTACCGCTGCAGTGTTGGAGAAAGCCAGCAGGACCACCTTAAAATGGTGTGGTGTTTCTTAGGAATGTGATGGAGGTGAGGTGCAGCTGCCTCTGTAGCTAGAGCCTGCTGGGAGGTGGGGCTGGCAAGAGCAGAGGCAGCCCAGCAAAATAGCCCAGGTGTTATATGTACATACATACCGTGCATCTCTGTCTATACGGTCACACTAATTCAGTTCTGGAGTGCAGCCTGCTGTGTATTTCAGCAGGCATTTGCACAACATGGGATAGCCTGGACATGCACATGGGTGACCAGGGCAGATGAGGCAGGACAGGTGGAGAAACTTGTAAATTAGATGCAACTGAATAAAAACTGAGTTTTCCTTGGACAATTCAGATTGCTGGCCAGTTAAAGTAGAGGCAGCCCTTAAGGTTGTGGCAACCTTATAATTAAAAGGATGCGCATCCAATGCCCTTTATGCTCTACTATTAAATTTTATTTTGGAGTGGATAGAAATAGCAGAAATGCTGAGGAGAGAGTTGCAATGTGAATTAGGCAGATGTACATTTTGGGTAGTGCATGAGGGGAATGTTAAACAGATGTACCCTCAGGTTCATCAATCAAAAGAGCTGAATATGTCATGCACAAAATAATTTAAATGCCTTAAGAATTATTAGCGTGTCACAAAAAGGAGCAAGTAACGTCTGAAGACTGTGGTTTCTGGGCACAGGAAGATGGGAGTTGTGCACGTAGGCAGCTTGCCAGGTGCTGCTGCTCCTGTGGAGGAGCCTTCAGATTCTTACACTGAACTATAAGAGCATTTACTTCTGTGCAGTTTGTAATGGCCATGGGCATTGAGGTGTGTTGCTTTTCCTATTCACTTAGGTATTTTTCAGCCTTGTCTAAAGGTGAACCCCTTCCTGTAAAGAAGAGGCTTGAAATGCCCTTAGCAGCAGAGAAAAAAGATGCTGGTTTGACCCCAGGACTCCTTAAGGTCTTGCACAAACAGGTACAAGCTGTTCTTTATCAAATGCACAGTGCTGTTGAGGATTGCTGATGGGTTGGAGATGGTTGGGGAGAGAGACTGTCAATTATTAGAAGTATTCTGGGGAGACTGTGTTCTTAAATTCATTCTGGTTTTCGGAGTTGTTATTGTGGTACCATGATTTTGTTCAAAGCTTTCTTCCAAAGGCATGGTGACCATTGCAGAACTGAGGGAAAAATGGAAGAATCTGGGCTTGCCAGAGGAGCAGCTGGGAGCTATCCTGCAACTGGACAATTTTGGCGAGGAGGTGGAATGGATGAAGTTTCTGGCACTTGGGTGCAGCGTGCTTGGTGGGGTATGTTTACAGTAGGAGCCCTCATATCCAAACACAAGTGATTGTCTAGGAACCATGTACAAGATAGACCATAGAACAATTAATGCAGATGGATTTGGGGAATGGTGATTGCATTTGCAGCAGCTGGCAAAGTAGCTTGCGTGTTTACTTCTGTTGCCCATCAGATTTTGGTCTGGGGAACTTAACCAGAAGGGTGGCTAAGTCAGTTTACTGGAGTGGCCATAGAAGAGCAAACGTGTCTGCAGGGAGCTTGTACTGTGTGAGAGAGGATGACGGAGGAATGATGCTGATGGCGTCAGTGTAAATGTCCATGAAGAGAACTGAAGGGAGAAATTAAAGAACCAATTTTTAATTGATTGTGTAGCCAGTTAAATTTTCTCAGCAGCACTTAATATTCCTACCGCTACATTTAATTCTTTTAATGTCAATAATAAAGTCTCAGCAGAGCATTTCAACAGAATGAAAGATTATATAATGCATTAAGCTGATGTTCTATAAAGTATAATACTTCTAATGATTTCTACACTTGGGAAGAAGAGGTAATAAAAAGAAAATACATGTGAAATAATATTTTGTGAATGTTGTGGTATCTGAAAGCCCTGAATGTTAACCTGTCCTGGCGATGCAATTGTGTCTGTCTGTCTGTCTTTATTTCAAATTTGTATTTCTTGATTCCAGTCTCCCTCCCAAAACAATCTTGTCGTTTGGGCTCTTTTCTTCATATAAAAATAGTAACAGCAACACTACTTATCTAAAAAAGAACAACCCCTCTCCCCCCGCAAAAAAAAACCCAAAAAACCAAAACCGGAGTCACAGGAACATCATTATGATGGAGCTAGACAGACTAAATTTCACTGTCCCAACGTCCTTTTGGATATTAAGTGAATTATTTGATTTCAGTACTACATAATGAAACCTAAACCTCGGTTTCCCAAACCAGAGAGAAAGACACACAACAAATTTACATTCATTTCCTGCAGCTATAAGTTGTGTTCACAGTCAAACAGGGTTACAATTGAGATACAAGAGAAGACAAATATGAATTTATTAAGAGCACCAATCTGAAGAATCTTTTTTGTAAAGCACCAATGCATTTTTACAAAAGCCTTGGAGAAATGACCACACAGGTAGCCTGTTCAATTGTCTTTCAAAGGTGGAAAAATGAATATAAACAACTTTGCTGTGTTGTGAGAGAGAAACTGTGGCAATTTGGGATGGCAGGACCAGAAAGGGCAGCAGTAAAGGGGTAGCCAAATGCAAAACGTAAAGTTGGCCATCATAGAGTCAGCTGGCTCTTTTCCCTGAGAAGCCTCCCAGAGGAGGAAATAAATTAAGTACAACTGTTAAAGGATTGTAAGATGACACTTCTCTGGCCTGTATTCTAGATCTTAAACAGATACTGCGTTTAAGTATTGCTATTCTGTTAGGAAATATTATCTTTTTACATAGACATTGCTTGCTTGTTAATGAAAATGTAAGAGTAAATTTTGAAAAAATTGCAGTGAAAAATATCGAGACTTGGGTTGAAGAAAGCCTGTGTGGGTTTGGTTTTGTGCTTTTATGTTGTGTATGTGGTTTTATTTGTTTCTTTAATGGCATCCAACTAGTCTTTGACTGAATGAAACTCAGTGCTGAATTTTTCCACACTTTTCCCCATATAGCTCAGCATGCATAGGGCACTGGATTATCAACACCATATTAAAGGAAGGATTTTTTCAAAGTATATTTGGAACTAGTAGTTTGAGACATGCTTTTTAAAGGTAACTCAGATGTTACTGACCTTTGACTAAACTGAAATATTCTTTAAATTCTTTTTGCCTCAGTACTTTTTCTACTATCTATTAAAATGGAACTTGCATAGAGATAGGGGAAACAGTAAATATCAGCCAAAATATAATCTAAAAATTATATAATACCATAATAAATCACCAAATCTATATTCATTCTCTGGGGTGTTATAGATTTGTCTGTCTTAACTGCTGCTGAGAATTCCTTTAGAACCATTGAGATAATATACACACACACAAAAAGATCTTCTACTAGATACAGTGATGTTGGAGCTTTTACAGTAGCAGAACAGAGCAATTTGGTCCTTATGGAGAGATGGCCCTATGCAGTCTTTAACCATCACAAGGTTCTGGAATTTTTTACTCCTGTTGCTACTAGAACTACATTATTGTTTCCATCCTTGGACCTGCACTAGAGAGTAAATTTAGGATTTAAAGCTAGGCAATGATGATAACACCTTCATCTCATTTACCCTCCCTTTTAATGGCTTACAGTGTGGATTTTGTCATGGTATGCAAGGATATTAATAGCTCTGATACTTTTCCTTTCATTTCTTGCTGGAATCCCCTGCAGTCCTTACTGAGTTCAATGAAACAGGCCTGCGAGATCCTAACAAGAGACCCAGAAGGTGGAGCAGCTCGAATTCCCTTCGAAACATTCTCATTCCTTTATTCATATTTGGCCAGTATTGATGGAGAGATATCACAGACAGAAACTAAAGCATTCCTCCTGGGAATTAAAGAACAAGCGTAAGTAAAAATCTGCAAGGAATTTTAATGTATCAGTTGTCTCAGGGTTCTTCATAAGCCTTTAATTTCAGGTGAATAGTCCATCTTCTTTTGGGCATAGCCATAACTGGAGTAAGGATTGACTAAGATTGTATCAAAAGTATACAGAGTTATTTTTTGTCAACTTCAGCGTTTGCACTGTTAAATTGTTATTTATCCATCTTTCTCTGAAACATTGAAGTCTCTATATGGTGGTATAATTTTCCCTGTAGAAAGCTGTTATAGACAGGCTTGTAACATCTGCTTATTACTGCTTCTGGAACCAGCAGCATCTTCTGGGCTGTTCCTTTGATTTAACATAGATAATAAAACAGAGAGAGATGGAGTTCTCTCATTGTATCTATAGTCACACACAGGTCACATGAAATATACCAATTTAAAAAGATCTGTAAAAGGCTTGTCCTCCACGTGCTGCCTGCATAGCATGTTTGCATACAGACAATTAATTGTTTCTACCATCTCTCTGGAATTGTTCTTTCTGTGCATGGTGGGCTGACACAACTCAGAGGCACTACCACCTTCACTGCTGGGCTCAGCCCTGGCCAGCAGTGGGTCTGTCCTGCAGCTGTCTGGCATTGGCTCTGGTGAACATGGGGGAAGCTTCTCTCAGAAGCTCACAGAAGGCACCACTGTGGCCCCCACCTCCCCACAAAAAACATTGCCACGCAAACTCCATACACTGTCTTAGATTGCCACCAGCTCCAAGTTCATGGGAGCTCCAAAACAAGAGCATACAAATGAACTGTTTCATCATTAGTTATCAGATTGACAGTTTTTAATAAGAACCACTTTTTAATCATACCCCTTTTGCTTGCATTTCATATAGCCCTAAATTGTATCTTGTCCAACACACTAGGATTTACCATGTGAAAGTGCCGTTTAAAAATTTTGGCTTATTCCTTTCCAGGGACAAACACTCCGGCATGGTGCTGATCAGACACTTCCTGCCATACTCCTTCATATTTTATTGATCAACCCTACTCTTCAGCATGAGGTGAGAGGGAAAAAAAAAAGGAAGGAATAAATAAGTTCAAGAAAATAATTTGTGTTCAAAGTACTGTAATTTGCACAGAACATGATCCTCTTCTGTGGCATTTCCTTTTCTTTGTCCTCTTCTTGAGATGGCCTTTCAGAGGATGTTAATTGAATACATGGTTATATTGTTTTCCTGCCTCTGAGATACTGATGGCCACCCCTAGGTGATTGTTAAGTGAAACACGGAATTCAGTTATGCTGGGGCAGCTGTAGTTGGAGCATTTCTCATTATGCTTCTGGTAGCTGTGACTTCATTTTGACTCTGGCACAAGTACAGCTGATTGTTGGACTACCTTGTCTGCCTGGACATTCTCTCTTTAAACAAACTGTTTTACCAAGCCCTACTGAAAGAACTTAGTGAGAACCCTGTAGCTGAGCTGGTAAGCAAAATCAATGCAAGGACTGCAGTGGTTCCATATTGTTTTCCCTCGAATTAGAACCCTTTCAGAACTTAAGTTTTTTCATTTTTGGATAAACTTATCTAAATGAAGCTGTTTTAAAATATATCTTGTTTTCTGAGAGGAAAAGCTACTGCATTTGTCACATAGGCGAGGAATACCTGACACAGAGTTGTTTGGTTAGACTGCTGTAGCAGGTATAAAAGCCTCAATCCATGAAAACTAGACCAAATACTTTGTGACAGATAATCACACTTAATTGCAGAAACAACTGAGGTATGAAAGAGGATACTAGAAGCTACAGTAAGACTGGAAAGATTCATTTTGACTGAGAAGGCCACAATCAGGAGCAACATAGAGCCCTTTCCTGGCACACTGATCAAATCGAAGTATTTTAGGAAAGATGGATCTGCAAGCTTGTTCTCTTACAGTTGCTTACTTTGTTGAGGCAAGAGTCTTGGCTGACGGTGACTGACCTTGCTTAAGTAGAGTGTGTGCGGAATTAACAGAACTGCACATCCTTAATATCTATCTCCATTTTAAGTCTGTTTTATCAACCTCTATCACAAATATCTGTATGTTAGTCCACAGGATGGGAAGTCTTCCTAGTTATTGATGGAAAGAAATGCACTTCATGTTTGAATATGGTACTCAGCAATATTCCAAGTGTCCTTGGTGCTTCCCCCCTAGCTCCTGTGGGGAGCTACATTCTCATCACCTTTGCCAGATTCTATTGATTGAAATTTTCTTCGAGCATGAGCTTGGGAACACTCACTTCTGTGTTATTGTCCATTCAGTAGTTGAAGTATTTTATAATTTAGTAGTAGAACTAGTTGTAGTTGAAGATGTTTTGTCCTGTTGGAGAATTCTGAAATCTGCCCTCTGGTACATGCTTTAAGTAGGCAATGTCACCTAGAGGTGACAGTGTTAGGTAGAAGGGGAAGCTCTCTTCACGCCTTCCCTGTTTGTAACTGGTCTGGACTCCAGGGATTAACTCTGTTCTATATCCACTACTGATGGGCCAGAAAGGCCACTAAGTACAACCTCTCATAAATTTTATTCTTCAGCCTTGTCAGAATAACTCAAATATATGAGATCAATATAATTTATTAACAGATGTATAAATGGTACAGAATTACACATTATCTGAAATATACTGCTTCCATCCTGACAAACCTTAGCATTTTTTTGTCTCCAAGTAGCACAGGTGCAATGCAACAACAATATTATGTGCACACCTTTACTGTCTTGGGCAAAATGGCAATAACAATAGTTCTTGTTATATTTTGAACAGCTGATGAACAAAGACATCAGGTTCTTGTTTCTACTTTCTTCTTTTATGGTTGTGATACTTGTCTTCATCCCTGAAACAAAAACATAAACATTGTGTGGGCTGTTAGGCTCAGAGTGAGAGTCTGAAGAGAAAAAAACTTGGAAAATGGAAAGCTCTCATTGAATGCACTCATGTCCTCCTCTAAGGAAATAAAGTACATTGCTTTTACATAGTTTATTTTCCATGCTGCTTTAATCAAGCCTTGTCATGCAGTGCCAGAGTGGCAATTAGTTTAGGATGAATGGCATCACAGTGTAATGAAGCCTGCTTTGAGACAAGCCATCATTGCCACCCACACAGTTATGCAATGCATTTACCCAAACACAAGAGGCAAGGCAGCATTTCTCCTGCACAACAGTCCTCATGTCTGCTCAAACACAGGTCCCCCACACCTGTGGTCCTGCAGATGTAAATATGTCCTTGTTGATAGTATTAGAAGTGTGGCCTAGATTTGTTTTCTTTTGCTAAACTGTATGTCCAGATGTAGTGAAGAGCAACAGCATTGTTTTGAAGCATCTATTATGGAAAGGCTACTGTATGCATATTAGTGAAACAAATAATACTATTTATTAAGGTCTAGAGCAAACTAGAGCAGAAACCAGCATTAGACATGACAGGCACTTAGTTGTGGATGAGAATTATACTGTCCATTTAACCATGTTGGAGTAAAATCAACAGCTTGTTACAGTACTGTTGCAGTCCTGCAGCATGCTGCAAAGTGCTGCTTTTCAGATGTGACAGTAAATTCTGAAGTCTGGATCACAGTTTATGATCCTACAGCATGTTTTGTTTAGTATTAGTAGCTTTATGCCACTATCTTGTCATACTGCATGTGAGGTTAGCCTAGCTTTTTAATTGGACTAGATATTCTCAGCCTCTGCACTAAATTCTCATAGAAAATGGCTACAGCTGCCTGATTCGGAAGCAGGAGTCAGCTGTCACTGTTTTTGCTCACCTCTCTCTTTTTCTCCGCGAGTCTCTGTCTTTGCCTCTCTCACGACTCCTTCTTCGTTTACTTGGACTCCTGCTGGCGTCTCTCCTGTGTCTCGTGCACTCTGTATCCTTACTGCTTCCCCCAGACTGCCGTGAGTCCACTGAGGCTGACCGCCTGTCTTCCCTTCTGAAAATAAACTTAAGTGATTTTAATCAATAAAAATAGTTTCACAGTCACTGTTTCCAGTACCAGTTTTGTATTATAATGACTTACAAATTATGTAAGACTGAGGATACATCTTTTATTAAGCCTTTCTGTTTCTCTAAGAAATAAAGTACCTCTCAAAAGAGGCCCAAAGTCCATATGTATATCTCATGTGCATATCTCGGCATACTATTTAATCCAGTTATTTCTTATAAACGCTGCTCCTCAGTCTTAACACCTCTGCTTGTGAAAGAGGAGACAGTAGAAGGGGTTCACTCTGTTTTGCTTTAAATCTTTAACTCTTCAACCACCTGCCTTAAGCTGCAACCTACAGCTGGAGAACCTAAGTCCTGATCTGACAGAATCATAGAATTATTAGGGTTGGTGTTGACCTCTGGAGATCTACTCCACTTGCCTTGCCAAGGGAGGGTCACCTATAGCAGGTTACACAGGAACGTGTCCAGGTGGGTTTTGAATGTCTCTAGACAGGGAGACTCCAGGACCTCCCTGGACAGACTGTTTCAGTGCTCTGCCATCCATTCATCCTCATTTTAATGCTGGGAACAGAGTGTCACTTTCTAGTGTGTTTCAAAAACATTCTCCTCTCAAAGGGCTGCTGAAGAGGCACAAATAGGCAATTGCTAGGTCATGTTTACTTCAGTGACAAATGTTGGGAAGGGTGTGCAGTGCTGCTTGTCACAGCAAAAATATGTATAGCTAAAACACACTCTCAATTAGCACAGCAGAATTTGCAGGGATAAGAACTGTAAAGCCTCCCCATATTTATTATGTTGTGGAAATCTTTACTCTGAGGTGTAATATATCTAATGCATGTCATGGGGTAGGGAAGGGTAAGAAATTGTGTACTTATATTTCCAAGTGTCCTCCTGTACCCAGCTACAACATACATAAACATTCAGGCACAGAGGGAGCACTATTCATCCCCCAGCTCCGCCAGAAACTCCTTGTTCAGCTGAATCACTTGCAACTAACCTACGTATCTCTGAAAGAAAGATACTTTCTGTTTTTTCTCCATCCTTCATGCAGGCAGAGCTTCTCAAGCAAGACTTAGCAGAATTAAAATAAAATAAACCATGCATATGACTCAGATAAGGTTGATATGTGCTATTAGAAGAAGGTGGCAAGATAAAATTACAATCTGTTCCATGCCTGAAGAAGCTGTCAGCTGTAGCATACCTTCCTGAAGACTTTGACTTCCCTCCTTCAGATATCTCTGCATTATCCAACCTATTCTCCTCCTGCCACTGATTGCTGAGTTCTTCCATATGTACACCAATCACATCCCGAATCACCTGGAGATTAAGATATGTTAAAAACAAACATGTCATGGTAGTGCCTAAACTAGCACTAGACAAACTGTAAACATCTTAATAGAACCCAAACCCCACCAAAATCTCCCCCAAACCCTGTACATCAGATGTTTGAATGGAAAGTCTTATTTGCAGAAAAAGGTTTCAGCATTTAAATAAATTTAAATAGCACCATTTTATGACAGTGACCTATATCTTGCTGGCATTTTCACATTCAAAACTTAGCAGTTAGAAATGCTCATTAATTGTAACTTGCTGCAACAAACCAAAAACATTCCCCTACAGTTTGCAACAATAATAAAGCAGGATACAAGAAGCAGAGAAAGACACATTATTTGTCCTTGAAAGAATATACAGTTGTTTATGCTAATATATAATAAGCACTTCTGTGCAAAAAAGCCTTTTTTTTCCCCAGTCTCACCTCAGTGTAGGACTTCTTCGTTATATGAACATTTTTAGCTCTGTATGACTGCCGCCGCCTTTTGTAATCTCGCATTTCAGCCAGAATTTCAAGATGGGACTTTGGACCTTTCTGGCTATCATCTAGCAAAAAATGGGGAGTAAAACAAAAAAAACCATCATTAGCAGGACGCTAGCACCTGCAGATATGCAGGCCTCATACATTCACAAACATAAAATAATTGTGTTCTTTCTGAAGTTCCTCCTGTATTTAGTAACTATGGTGATTTTATCTCAAGCTTCCTCCCCAGCCTTCTTGCTGGCTGTTTATACACAAGTAAAAAGCCAGCAGGCAAATGCTGTTATGTGACCTCAGTCTCTAAACTGTGATCCAAACCAATATATGGGCTTGTGATTTGGTCAAACGCCTTCTAAATACAGGTCACGTTTTCAAAGCCAGTATTGCAGTAAGACACAGAATGAGAAAGCCAGATTCTGTAAAAAATTTGCTGTGTAGATGACAAGTACTGTCACACCTCCTCAGCACAGCAGAGCCTGCAGAGTGACACAGATGCTTTTGCTGCACTCGGTACAGTTACCAACTGGCATGACTCAACGGGGATGAGAGGTCCCAGACCAACACCAAAATATGTTGCTCAAGAGCTCCACCTGGATGACTGCCAACCTCTCCCGTTCAGCTTTTACTCTTCAGTGATCTTTAATTTCATCATGTCTTGCAGCAAATAACTGTTCCAAACTGCACAGCACACTGGCAACATTAAGCAACCTGGAGTCAGCTGCAGCAAAGACAGAAGATCCATCCACTGAGATACACACAATAGGTGTGTCAAGAGCAGAGCACTGAGGCTTTCCCAGAAGGAAAACATCATAAAGGAGACCAAACTAGCATTTTGTGATGCCAGGTCCTTGCTGTGGCTTTTAAGAACAGTATGCTCTCTACAGAAAAAAAAAAAAAAAAAAAGCACAACCAATTCTGCTTGGCTTTCAAAAGAACTCATGTAACTGGACAAACTGAAAGTTCAGAGCCATAAATTCAACAACAGATCATTCTTCAAACCTTGGGTGATTTTTGCTGCTAAATCCACGAAGAGATCACTGTCATTTTCCATTATCTGGGATCTAGACCTCTGTTTCTTTGTTTCCTCAACAACGTAATCGTAAAGAGCAAGGCGGTCAGCTTGGGTCAGGTCACAGGTGAAACGTTTGTGGTTTTGAGGAACTTCTACGGGCAGTAATGAGTAAGATCCTGGAGGATGGACAGAGAGCTGTTACTTGTAAAGTAACATAATTATGCAGGAAAATAGCATGAAGTTGAACAAACAAATAGTGCAGTAAACTCCCAGGCTGTTTCCATTCTTCCCCTATATATCTGTAAGAAGTTTCAACCTTCTTAATTTGAAAAGATAAAAACTGCTCAAAGATCCCTCCCAAACCCCATGCAGGCTGTATAACCCCTCTTGATTGCTTACACAGATATAGTTTTCATATGCCATGAAGGAATCGTACTAGATTAGATCAACATGACCCTCTGTAATTTCCCATGAGTGTCAGCTCTTGGCTTACAAGCTAAATCAAGAGAGGCTGCAGCTCTAACTTGTAGGTTTATCTTACTCCTAAAATGTTATGTACAGTACTAGCTGCAAAATACCTGTTCTGCCAACAAGAATGAAAGCTTCTAGGAAACTAGATAACCAAGCACTGTGTAAATCAGTCACTCACACGGTAACCTCTACATAGCTTTTATAATAGACTGTCACAGGAATTTATAGCTAAAAGGACCACAAAGGCACTATCAAAGCGCTCCAGATCAGTTAACTGACTTCAAGCTATGGAAACAAATACACTGCCTTCACACCCTTCTTTCCCATTCCCCAGTTAAAACACATATGCCTGCAAACAAATCGATCTATTCTCAATCCATTGCAACAGCAGTTAAGTGACTTCCCCAAAGATACAGGATGCAATACAGGTTGTGCTTTAGGACATTGCCAGCAAAAAAACATTTTAGTAAAAAACTTTCAATTTTCCAGCAACCACTGATCTGACCTCCATAATCCTGCTTCTCCCAACACAATCCCACACATTTCCAGGCAGACAGAAGAGGCAACACATAAGAAGAGTGTATGCACACCCTTCACAAGAGCAAACCTAGAGCTTCTCCAGCTTATTCAGCTCTTAGTGGAAGCTGGGCAATCTTTCACATCCTACTATCACTAAAGGTAGCAAAGAAGAGGAAGAGAAGCCACAATAACTCTACAGACAAACCTAAAATATAAGATTTCATTATTACTGTACTTGGAGCCTTAACAAGAACTGTTCTAACATGAACAAATTGATTTAAACACAAAGTAGAAGTCTCTTTTTAAAATGTACTGTTCTTATAGCATCACAGAAGTCCACAAAAATGCGCTGATAATTACATACTTGTGATTTTACAAGAATTACACAACTTGTGATTAAGACCAGTTTTCAACAATGTAGCTATGCTAATATTCTAAATATGGTCAGAATTGAAAAAAAGAAAGAAAACAAAGGAAGAAAATCACTTTGATTCAGTGAGTCAAAAGGAAATTTACAATGGAAAATTATTTTTCATTTGTTTCTGTTGCCAAAGACTTTAAATTGAACAAACAAGTCAGTAAATCTTACAGCAGGCCAAGTTGCCACAATGTAAACCACTGATCCAGTTTTAGTGTTATCCTCAGAGAAAGGCAAGCTTGCAGGGAAATCTGGACAGTGAACACTGGCATCTAGTGGCTCACTGATACACCTTTGCAATGAACAACTCCACAAAGGGTTTATCTGCTGCTTCTCTACTTGTGTCCAATTAATGAGTTCCCACTTCCCTTCAGAGGAAATGCACTTGACATGCTCAAAACACAGTGCTCAACCCAGAAAATTTCTTTCCCAAGCAACTGTCCATTAAGCCTCTATTTGCTACGCCAGAGAAACAAAGAAAACATTAAAAACTGTCTGAGTAAGTGCTGCTGTATTTCACTGCCAGAAAAGTTTCAGTGTCCCTTTTCCTTCTGCCCATATATGTTTAACAAACAAAAGACTGCAGAGAGCAAATGTTCTTTCAGGTGTTGCAGTAATTTCTCAAACATACACTAAAGCTCTACAGACTCCACAGGGAGTCCTATTTTTCTACTTTGTGTAAGTCTGAACCCTCAAAGACTCCATCCTAGCCTGGTCCCCTGGCTGGTCACAAAACCCACTGAAAAATGACAAAAGGGAATTAGTGAGCTTGGAGCAGTAATAAAGGAAAACATCACATTTGCTAATGTGCCAGCATAGTTCTTATACAACCTCTTAGTTCAGTCTTGAAACAGTCCAACATAGTATCACAAATGTTGTTTGGTTTTTTCAGTCCTGAAGGTAATAGAGGTACGAGCAAGTCTCCCATCTAGCTGCCCCCAAGTATAGAAAGTAATCATGCTCCAAGATATGCAGGGAAAGGAATATTAAAAATAAATGAAGTGAAATTCCTCACAGCAGTTCTCAGTGGAATGAAGGAAGCAGCAAGGAGGGAGACAAGAGCAGTTTGCCATAGGAGGCTGGTGAAGTCCCGTCATTATCTGCTTGCTCCTTACCTTCACTGTAGCCTGCACCTTCCTTCGCACTTTGGGCTCTAGCCTGCTTAACAATGTGAAACTGTAGATCTTTATCTGCAGGCAGAGAAGAAAATAAAATCATACAACTTTTACATCAAGTTCTCGGATACTTGATTGGATTAGCCTTTATTCCCCAACCTCTATTATAAGATCTACGGTATGGTACAGGACGTCATAGTTTCATTCATGTACAAGGGAACATTTGAACTAAAAATGTAATTTTCATCTATTACATATTTGAAATGAGGGGAGAAAATTAAGGAAAAAATATTCTGGGTTACAGGGGTGTGGAAAAGAAATATATGTATATTGCTTTCCATACCATTGCTTTATTTCCAAATTCTATGGACAGCTTTCCCACCTTCAAAGCATGAATTTTAATATACTTTTTGCATTTGATGCAAGAGTGGGGACGGAGAACATAGGAAGAAACTCCTAAGAGGAAAAAAAAAGATCCTCCTTGGATTTTAAGAGAAAAAGATAAAAGTGACCTACAGAGTAGAATTACACAGTGATAGACGCATAAAAACAGTAAATTAAGGCAAATTGCAAATTACAAATTGAGAAAACTAACCTACTGATTGAAACACTCATGATTTTCGGGAGGTCTTGGGGAGTTTACAGCTGCCAAGGCAGTGGGGTTGTGCTACCGTGAGGACTCCTTAGTCCCACGTCTGTGTCCCCGCCCGGGCTCTCCCCTCAGCCCCTCATCCTGTGCACCTCCCCGGGGGTCTCTCCTCAGCCCCAGCCGTGTGTGCCGCCCCGTCAGGCGGACCCCCGCAGCCGCTCACCCATGGCGACAGCGGGAACCTTCAGGTTTTCGTAGAAAAAGCTGGAGTCGTACATCTCGGCCTGCGGGACCAAAGCGCTCGGTCAAGGCCCGGGGCCGCCGAGCGGCTGCGCCCAGGGCAGCAGCGCCAGCCCCGTGCCCCGCTTCCCGAGCCGCGCTCCCACCTCCTCCTCGGCGGAGTATCCCATCCTGCGGAGCCGACAGGACGCCGCGTGCCTCTCCAGCGACGCGCGGGGGACACGGTGATGGACGTCGTAGGGGCACAGCACCCACTCCACCTGCGAGGAGACACGGGTCAGCCGCGCCCCGCCGGCCCCGCCGCCCTGCCCCGCGCAGCCCCCGCCGCCTCACCGAGTCCCCGCCGAGCCACACGGCGCTGCGAGCCGCCATGGCTGCGCCGGAAGCCGCCATGGCTGTGCCGGGCGGCCCCGTGACCGCGGAGGGGCGGGCCCGCCTCAGAGGGGCGGCACCGAGCCCTGCGGGGTGTGCGGAGGGGTGTGAGTCGAGCGTGGCCTTTTGGGGTGTTTTTAATTGAGTAGCCGGTAACTGGATAGTTACGATTAATCACCTGCCTTGTGAGCATCGCATGCTTGGTTAGAATTTTAAGGAATAGGGAACACAGTCTCAAGCTGGATGGGCTGTCCGGACGAGAGCCAGCAGGAGCGAAGTCAGCAGGGTTGAGCAGTAACTGAGGGATTGGTAATCCCGGCAGTGGGCGATCGCGACCACTGACTCACTAGCCACTTACTCAGAGAGGACTCCAGGCTCAGATGGACGGAAGGACCTTGCCCGTGGATTAACATAAGCGAGAGGCACAACCAGCACATGGGGACTGAGTAGTGATTAACACAAAAATTACGTAATTTGCAACTAATGAATGCCGATGCCCTCGCTTGTTGAAATGTGTAAATAGCGTGAAGTTTCGGTGCTCTGTAAGGCAACCGTGTGCGGGTCCCCCGCAGCTGACGGGAACGGGAACAAACCCCGGGAATGCCGCGGTGCCTGAGGAGCGCGGGCGCCGCCTGCCGGCGGGAGGCCGCGGGGACATCCCCGCCCGGACAGGCCGCGCCCTGCCCGAGGGGCAGCGGGTCTCACTCTCGCCTTACCTGCACACGGCCTGAGTGCTCGACAGCCTTGCCGAGCTCTGCTCTCCTGGGCGTGGGGCGTGCCTGTCTGGGCGCCCCAGAGCCCCCAGAGCGCTCCCTGTGATCGTGGATGGGCAGGAGGAGCATCAGCCTCCCCCACTCCTGTCGCCATCGAGGACGTGAGGCGCTGAGGTCTTGCAACATGAGAAATAGCGGTGCTGGCTCCTATCGCAGGATCCGTGAGAGGATCCCTAAGGAGCAGGATATACTGTGCAGAACCAGGATGGGTTTGTCCCCTCGTGGAGCACAGGGGTGTTGTCACTGTGGGGGAGCTGCACGAGGACACCCCAGGGGGCTGCCCGGTACTTGGCCTTATTTCTGAGAGCATTTCGCTGAGGGAGCAGTAGGGCTCAATCAGTCTGTAAGGCAGGATGAGGAAAGAAGGACTATCTTAAGGGACAGATTTCACATGATTGACATTTGTGCTTGCCTATTTCTGTCGTCTCTGAAAAGCACACGACTGGATGGAAGAGTGGGTCTATCAAGGCAGGGTGGGGGAGAGGCAGCATGACAGATGCAGCTGCCAGAATGACTTTTGGACATCTGCTTTTCTTTAGCAGATTACAGCCTTTTCCTGCACAGTGAATTTGAGACTCAGCTGGGATTTTAGCCTTTTGAGATATTTGGTGTCTCTAGCTACGTTTTTCTAGGGATCTTTGACATCACATGATACAGAACACTTGTTGTGAAGACTTCCCAGCTGCCCTTGCATTTTCATCTATGCTATACTGAAGTACACTTGCTAGCATTAGCACATTTTATCAACAGAGTACTAAGAAAAGCTCTGCAAAACTGTTTTGACCATCTCTGCTGGAAAATATTTCTTCAAATTTATGAAAGTCACATTCAACAAAGTGTCCAAGCAGATTTTTTTTAAGACTAAAGATTAAACAAAAATTTGATTTAGTTTACTTATAAATTAAATTGATAAGAATTAGGATAGATGTTTTGTTCTGCTAAACAACATTTTGAATGATTCAAAATTGTCTTAGGGGTTTCTTTTCCTCTAAAAAACCCCAGTTCCTGTTATCATGGAACAATCATGTAGCTACAGACTTTCTAGGAGCAAACAGACTGGATGGGACACAAAGATCATCAGCTTACAAAAGTTCATAGCACCACTTTCCTTCCAGGCAAAAATCACACTTAGGTTGGCTTCCCATCAAGCAAAGAGCGGGACTGTCACATTCTTTCAGCTAAAACTCTTTCCCAGCCGTTGTCTCCAGTCTGTGGCACACCCTCTTCTTCTGCACCTAGCACGATGCTGCTGCTGCCCAACAGCCTTGTGACTCTGACATCAAACATGGTGGTTAATAATGTGAATTTAACACAGTCTCATGGTTCCTTCTGAAAAGGAGGGAGGAAACTCCACAGCTGCATTTCCTCAGGCAGGAATGCTGCCTGGCTGCAGCACCCTGCAACAGGGGTACTAGAGTTTGGTCCTATTTGGTGCCTTTGCAGAGCTGCAATTCATGCAAAGTAGTGTGGTGCTTTTGTAGATGCTTATTCTGGACAATGTTGATCTATGGAGATAGTCGCTGTGGAAATCAGCCCCAGATATCCTCACAGGGCAGCAGAACAGTCCTGAACTGCAGAACAAGCAGAAGATACAACAGGGAATTGGTGTATACATTAAGCCAACATAAAGACCATATAGCACTTCTGGAGAACTCATTAAAGGTACCACCTTGTGTCTTCCAAAGCTTAACCTAGGTTAAATGATCCCAATCCAACAAAAGTCACTTGGTACCTCCAAGAGTGCCAGGTTAGAACTACACTGAAATCACACTGGTCTTAAGGTCCAAACCTTCCTAATGGATGTGCAAGAGGAGTGGGAGGCCTATCCTGAGCAGCAAACCCCTTCCCCACACTGCTGACACAGGGAGGGGCATCCCATGGATTGTGTTAGTTTTTTCCTCCACTACTAACAAAATGTTGCAGACTTTTTGCAGCAAAATATTTATTTAGAAGTATACTGAGGTCTTCTCTAACATGAAAGAAATACATTTTTCATATTTAGCATTCCTTCTTTTCCTTACATTCATAGCACTACTTACAGTTTTATTGTGTTCACAGTTCCCCCTGGAAACAAGGGAAAAAAATGTGAAAGTTCAATTTATTAATTTTTTAAAACATACTTTGGGTAAAGAAAAAAAAAATAAGCTTTGTAACAGTTTTCTCAATCCTTACCACATTCAGCATGCACATTTCTGGGTGGGAGAGGGGCCATGGCAAAACAAGAGCAAGGCAAAACATGCTGTAGAATGCATAGAAACCGCTTGGGACTACCCAAAAGCCAAAATGGAAGCAGCCTGGCTTGTGGCCCCAGACAGCCCATGCAGGCCTGGGAGACAGAAAAGACAGCTCTTGACCTCCAACTGTGACAGATCTTTGCTCCTTCCAGCCCATCATTTTTGGTGAAGTTACAAGATCACTGCATCTTTGTGAAGGGTATGGAGTAAGCAGCCAGCACCTGGCAGACCACAGTGTATCCTGTAGCAGGGAATGACTCTCCTAGAATGTATGCCATGCAGATCCCTAGGGCAGTTTAATCTGCAACTGCTTCATTAACACTCACACCTTGGACTGCAGGAGCAGGGGATGTTGAACAGAAAGGTGCGGGGTCCCCACCTGGTGCTAAGATTGACTCATCCTAGAGCAGCTCTGGCAGTTGCCACCTCTTCTCCCTTGCCCCTGGAGCACGTCAACCTCATTTTCTCTAGGGCAGGAGATAGCATCAGTGTCACTCTGCAAAAATGAGAGAGATTTGGTGAAGATGAAGCACACAGACACTTGAATGTCATTCTTTTTGGTCATTGTTGCTTTTACTCTCTTCTACCTTAGACTCCAACAAAGATGCCACATTCAAAATCTGTAGTTTCAATTCAGCTGGTTCAGCTTTGTTATCTATAGGGACATGAGGTGAGCTTCTCTAGCATGCAAAAATCAATTTATAGAAGTATCTTTTATACCATAGGCATATTTTCCAAAATTCTCTCTACCAGACCACTGACAAGAATTTAATTTTCATCTTTTGCTGTCCAGGTCCTAATTTTGTTGCCCTCCAGCTCATCCTGAAGTGCCAGTGTGAACCAGTACAGGTGCTGATGGCAAGCAGAGAACTTAGAGAATGCTCAAACCTCACTGCTTTCTTTGCTGGGGCAGTGCAGCTGATTTATTCCTTCAGCTGTGTACCACTCAGAGTCTGCTGCAACTCCTTAGCTCCTGGATGTTTATTCCTTTGTAATTTAGTCCAGTTACAGCCTGTGATGTATTTTATGAACTGCAGGGCACCGGACAATTCCAAATTGATTTACAGGCAGCAACTCTAGCATCTATTAATGCTTTATTGATTCTTCTCTCTGTATCTCTCTGTGATCTCTCATGGATTCATCAGATTTAGATGAGTTTAATCAGGCTGGTATCATTCTCATCTTTGAAGATAAGGCATGGTGTTCTCACTTGATGAAGCTGAGAGTTCACTGTTAAACAACCAGAAGTAAATCCAATGCCCTCTTCCACACTCAAGTTTTAACATGTGTGTTTTGAAGCCTTCATGGGTTTTTCTCTTTAAGCCCTTCACAGTTCTGGCACTGCAACCCTTGATTCTTTGCCTGCTCCCTTCTCTGCCCTTCCCTTGCTGTGAGCTTCCCAACAAGCCAGTACCTGCCACTTGCTTGGAGCCAAGGTTCTTCCTTTGCCTTTGCCTCCTTGGTTGTTAATGGACTGGTGGGAATCATTATTTATTTAATCAATTTTTCATTAACAGCTGTTGTGATTAAACATAATCCCTGAGAAGAACTAAAGCATCTTCCATACCTTTTGTCACAAATACTGCTGAGAAAGAAACTAGCTAAACTGAAATGTGGCCATAACTGTGGAAAGTGACAATTTCTGGCTGGCGATTTGGCCCCTGCTTTTGCTTAGCTGTGCCAGTACCCTGCTTGCCACAGATGTGGAGACCCTTCCAGCACAGGGCTCCTCGTGTTCTTTTCCAGGAAGCACAGAAGAGCCTGTGGTTTTCTTTAAAAACACGCTATTGATTTCTAATTGATGTCTGCTTGAAATGCCACACAAGGGAGCTGAAACAGCACAGACCTTGCCACACTCTCAGCACTTGCAATACTTGGAAAGCTTTAGAGCAACACAGAAGTCCTGTGCCAACTGTGTGTTTCAGCTGGTGCTAAAGTTCCCTTTGCATTTATCATGTGAGTATGTCTTAAATGTACCTCATTTTGCACTGGTCCAGGGAATTTCATCTCCTCTGTTGGGGCTCCAGTGTATCCCTTAAGGGGGATCCTTGGCATGAGGCTGATGGTCAATGTTTGGACACATGGATCAAGCCACCTACTTCTGCTGCATCTGCAGACTTGTGCAGCCTTAGAAGTTGCTTCAAAAATGTGGCCTCTCATGTTCAGCACTGTAAGTGCAGTGAGTAATAATAGCTGTCCCTGGATGCTGCCATTTCTTCTCATAATCATATGTGAAACAAACAATATTACTTTCACCTGAAGCAACATTTCAAAGTAAGTCCACAGGAAGGAGGAACTTATGCACAACAATTTCCTTGGAAACAAGTCAGCAGATGCAAGGACAGGCCAGGTGTTATAACAAGCTTAATAGTCCGGGTGCTGCCTACAAGCATCCTTCCTCTTCCAGGAGGATTAGCATAGGGGATTACAGAGAATCTTTGAAGAGATTGGCATATGCTCAAATGGTCACACACTGCAGCTTCCCAAGCTCATGGGGGCAGGGAGGAGAAAGCAAGTGCAGGGGAGAAACAGATCCTGCTCAATAATTGCCAATGGGGAGAACACAAGGTGGCTTTAGCTCTCACAGGGAGTCGTAATTCAAGATCACCATATTTGCTGAGCTCATTGCTGATAGCATTTCATCAGCACAAGTCCTTGTACCCCAGTATCATCACATTTGGAAGCACAACCTCTTGTCTGAGACACAAAGCAGACGTGCTGCTTGCTTGTGATCAGAAATGGTCCTCAAGCACTTGTGAATTCTTCAATTAGAATGTCAAATTCTACCCCTTGGCCAGTTTCTCTTGACTCTGTACACACAGAAGTCATTACAGTTTTGCAGTTAAAGTACTGCACTCACAGATACTGTGGTTTCCTCATCCCTCTGTTCTCCAATGCAGGCTTCTTTCCATCCTGTTACTTCTTTGCCACTTTTCCCCCATTTCTTCCCCAGTCAGACCTGTGGTTTTGCAGGCATCCTCATCCATTATATCAGAAGCTGCACAAGCCCAGGTCTTTCTGATTCTGTTCACTGATACCCAGAACCTTCACTGAAAACCATTGTGATCAGTGTGTCTGCAGATCTGACCCATCCTGCTGCCTGTCCCCAGCACACATTTTGTCTGTCACAAGGCTCGGGCTTGCAAGGCAAACAGCAGCCTGGCTGCAGTGCAAAGGAAAAGCACCCACCCTCACCCACTTCTCCAGGTCCATCTTCTATCCCAGTGCACACAGCAGCCTGGCACATACTTCCCTGTATGTGTATATGAGGAATTAGGTTATTTTCTTTAAGCACTTGTTTATTCCACTTTCCAGACTTTCAGACAGAACTTCGCACGTGGTGTTCTCCGTGCCTATCAAACGAGTGTGCAATGAAGTGTCTCGCCTCTGATCTATCTCTCGCCCACCAGAGCTGAAGCAGTATAGAAGCACTAATAAGACATATCTTACATAGGAGACAAACAGCTCAACTCCCATCAGCAAAGAGCTGTTAGCAAAGCCAAAGCATGTAAATAATCAATCCAGAGTCCACCTAATACACACACAGAGTCATAAGCTGTGTAAAAAGAGCTGGTTTAAAACTACATGGTTTAAGCTGCAAACTCCAGTGTAGGAAGAGCTCTATCTGTTGCTGAGAGCTGACAGGCAGTGCTGATGCCTCTCGCCTACAGCACACGTGGAGAACACTGCCTTGGTGGGTGGGCAGCAGATCGTACCTGTACATATTACACAAGGCAATGCCTGGCAAAATGAGCTGAGTTAAGATGACACATACGGCTGTGAATTACAAAACTCTCTGTAAGGATGCTGGGCACCAGGATTACTCTGGTCTATTCCTGGCTCCGGCAGCAGAGTCTTAATGGGTACAACCACGATTAGAAACAGGATAAGCAGTAGCCTACAGCTGAAAGGGCTCCCTCTGAAGATCTTCATGATTGCCTCTGGGGGGCAACCATGGGGGTTTGAGGCTGTTCTGTGAGCCATACCTCCCACGCTAAACCTGTCCACTAAAGAGAGAGAGGAAGGATATTTATGCATTTTACAGGAATGGAGATGCTGCCAGGAAAGTTAGAATACCTCAGCTCAGTCTTGCCTTTCCCTTAACTGTAGGTGGCTACACAGGGAACCAGATGAGGAGTTGAGTAGAAACACTGTTTTAGATGCTAGTGCAAGGTATAGTAGCATCATCTCTGCTATCAAAGTTCCTCACTCAGTATTAGAGGGAAAAAACACCAACTCCTACTGTGTACCAATGAAAGAAAGCAACATCCTCCAAACTGGGCTTTATATTTTGTTTGCAGACATGTACCCCAGACCTGAAGATTCAGGATCCCATTTCCTGATACCTGGGTTTCTTCCTGGCTCCTCATGGGGTTGCTCAGGTGCAATCGCTCAGGCAGGAGCTGCAGGATTCAGAGAGCTCCCTGACTACCTCCTGTCTCCTCAGCCTGAGACCTGCAGGAGCAGCAGGGCAGCAAGTTGTAAACACACAGTTACTAAAAAAAGCCTTTAGCTGTGACTGCTCTTGCCCACAGAAAGCAAGCCTGATTAGCTGCTTTCGTGCATTTGTTTTACCACATGAGCCAGCGGTGCAGCAGCATGCTGCGGGTGGCACCTGGGGTTTGTCACTGCTCATGGCCTGGTCACACTGATAAATGAGAAGGCCATCACCAGTTTATCCCAGTAAGTGCTACTTGGCATAAAAGAGCCAAATGCCAACCGATCCTTTCTTAGAAATCCACTCTCCAACAGGGCAGCTGCAAAGCTAAAAGGTGTGAGGTACCAACGCTGCTCCTGGCAAGGGGCAGAGCCACCTCAGGCAGGAGGCGGTGGGTACTCACCAGGCACCCCGGGAGGCCTTCCCGGGGAAGCAGTTTTGTTAAGCACAGAGAGAAGGGCAGCGGGAGGTTTGGGGATAGGAGCATCTCTGGAAAGCGCTTCCCTGCCGTGGCCCGACACCAGGTGGAGCTATGGAAAGCAGCGAAGTCCCGCACAGCGGCCGCGCAGGCAACACAGAGGGGCTCCCTATCCCCAGACAAACGCAGTCCACGGTTTTGCCTTGCGACCCTGGCTCTTCCTTGTCGCATCCACGCCTGCTGCAGGTAGCGATTCGGGGTCTTCCGCTTCGCTGCCGGGGTTGGCACAGCAGCACGAACGCAGTGATATTTCAGTAATGGAACGGCTGCACGAAGCCTTTCCTTAGCTCCTAGAGTGGGCTGGTGTCTTTACATCACCGGAGGAAGCCCTCGCACTCCTCCCATTATAAACCTGGAGCACATCCTTCACTCTGCCTTTCCCCCGTTTTATTTGAGAGTTTTCTTTACCAACCCTATGAGGAATCCTGTGAACCTTCTCTCCCCCAGCAGCAGCTCAGTTCTCTCTCATTCTCCGCTGTCCTGGGGGCTTGCATCGGTTCCGGGAGCGACAAGGGCAGTGGAGGCCAGGGCTGCAGGCTGGTACCTGGGATCTGCAAGAGTGTGGCAGGGGAGACAGAGCAACTCTCCTGAGTCCCCTGCCAATCCAAGCTGTGCAGTGCTCTGCTCCCAGCCAAAGTGGAAAGGCTTCCAGGCTGACATTTTACCTGCATTTTTTCTTCCCGGGGGCTATAAAATAAAGATACAAGAAAATCTCAACTTTTGCCACGCTCAGACCGAAGGCACCACAAGACAGGCAGAGCTATTGCACTCAGACAAAGCCTACAGCAGTAACGTGCCACGAGCTTTTCTGCAAAACCCATGTCGCCAGCAGCCAGCAAGAAGACTTTATGGTTTGAAAGGTAACATCTCAAATTAAGATTGCTCCTGTGCTTCTCAATGGTGTAGCCTATTGCAGCGCTGTTGCAAAAACACAGATGATATTCGAACTTGTCAACTATTCCTTGATGGCTGCCCACCCCAATCTGAAATGAGAATTGTTTAAAACCCAGGCGATTCCACAGGATTCTGTTCATTATGACAAAACAATATGGGAAGCGAGACAGGGTTCCTCCAGCTTGACATTGCCCTTCTGCATCTGAACTATTGCTTCCAAAATCCTCCCCACAGCAGCAATTCCCCGTTCTACCATTCTCTAATTCTCACTCAGAGTCTGAAATTATATATTAAAAAAACCGACCTGCAACACAATTTCCAGAAGCAAAAGAGGGCTTCAGGTTCATCTGTCTGGAGATTTATTTCAAGAGGCTTCTAGGAATTTTCTAATATCTCTTCATTCCCCTATATTTCTCCAGCCTCACTCATGACCTGTATGAATTGGAAGCCAGAAATTTTTAAACTAAAGAAAACATCCCCAAGGAAGTGAGATAGATATTTTTATATTACATGCACATATATAATATATATTTATAAATTATGTATTATTCATGTATAGATTTGAAAGGTCAACAGTGTTTATATAAACATATATATGCATGAATATATGCACAGATAATACATAAAAGGTCAACAGTATGATTAAAGAAAGCATCAAAACTTTTATCTTTTTTTTCTATTCCTTTTTTCTATTTTTAGATTTTTTCATTACCCTCTTCTGCAGGTTTTATAGGCTTACCTGCAGAAATCCTCCAGCTTTGGAGAAAATCCCCACAGAGTCTTTTTCCACCAAGCCTGGTAAATTCAACAACATTCTTCATCATGGCATGTTTTCCATCTAATTGTGGGGGAACAAGCAGAGTGGGACAGGGACAACACACATGACACAACTGCAGCAGATTATAGTATGATCTTCTCCAAACTACCCTAATTGAAATGAACTAAAGGGCCTGTGTGAAACCAATCAGGGAAAGAAAAATAAGTGAGTGGATAACAGATGGCCCCACAGATAGGGGAAGCTATGAAATGAGCTCAACTGGACTAAGCCATTAGAGGCTTCCAAACAAACAGGCAAAAATAGCTGCTGCTAAATACTGGGATCATTATCAAATACACAAATATATCTGTAAATGACAGAGTGTTTCTGCTAAAAGCAAAGCTAAAAAGTACAATCTCCTTATTCTGCAAATTTACCATGAGTACTTTTATGAAAAGCATGCATTTCTGTTCAAGCATCAATAGTGAACTTTTGTAACCTAATAGTATGACCTGTCAGCACAGGTGTGAGAACAAGAAATGCTTGGTTTGCCCTCCTTACTAGAAGGTAGGAAAATCTGATTGCAGTTCATCTTACTTGTATTCCTGTGGGCACACTTCATCTGAAGGTTAAGGCCCTGATCTAGCAAAGCAGAAATGCACACAGCTTCCAGCAGACCCGGCTTTATAGTTCAAATTAATGGGAAGAGCCACATGTTAACAGCAGATGCTGGAGCATATCTGGGTGGGGCCCAGCAAGTTTTCATGTTCCAAGATCCCTGGGAGAGCTTTGAGCTGTATGGGCAACCAAGAACAAATAGAATTCAGGTATGATTGATTATAGTGGAGGACACAATTTTTGGATGAACTTTGTAGTCACTACTGTAGGGACACATATTGAGAAAGCAAGAAAATGACAGTTTGAGAAATATTCCAGGCCAGAGCTTCTCAGCTCTGTTCCCAGCCAATAAGCTGGTCCAGCTGTAGACTAGGGAGAATTTCTCCCAGGGTGATATCTTGGTCAAAATAAAAAGGAATTAATAACAAAGATAGAACATCTGTTGCGGTGTGTGACCAGGCCCTGGGAATGGGGTGTCTTCTCTCTGAACAAATCACCTTTTCTCTACTCTTGGAATTGCGAGTCATGCTATAAAACCAAATGTGTTTCTGAATAAACTTGTCTCTTTCTTTCCTATCATGAAAGACGACCATGTAGCTGTGCATCTTATTTCCGCTGCACTTAAAGGGTTAAAATCCCTTTCCACGGCTACAACTATGTTTCCCTCCTACTGCCGTTGTAGGACAGTCAGTGCAACATGCCACGTCTTGAATTCTCTTCTTATTGAAATTTTTACCAGTTTCCTAAGGATGTGAAGTTAATATTACCCTAATCAGTATGTCACTGGTTTTACCTTTTTCCCACAAATATACCAGAGGCAGAATTTGAAGCTGAGAAACTGGAGGAACAGACAGCATAAAAAAAGAAAAAAGATGAAATTTTGTCAAGACAAGTAAAAAACACTGCCCTTAGGCAGGAGTAATCAATTTCAGGAGTACAAATCAGGACCAAATAGTTAGAAAGTGTTGGAGAACAGTTTCTGGGGTTTACAGTAGACCATGAACTGAACACAAGCCTGTGGCAGACTGCTGTGCAATACAGGAACATGTAAATTGGACATGAGTGAACAAGACCGTCAAGTAATCCTGCAAGTACTTCTTGTATTGTGTTGAGCATTTTTAAGCCTCTACAAGAGATATATGCCTAGACTGAACACTGTCTTTCAAAAACAAAATGGATCCAGAATAAACTGAAGTCAGAGAGGCTATGGAAACTCCAGTGCTAGAAACTTTTAAGTACAATTTAGCTCAATACTAAACTTTTACCAGTAATATTTATTTCTGTACTCAGGCAGATGATATCCTGGAGTTCATGATACCTCATGACATACCAAGAGGTTGACAACATTCGAAGCTTTGAATGGAAGTTCTTACTTTTAGCTGGTAGTGTCTTTGTAGTTCTGTGTTTCAGCTTCAGCACAGAGTTATCCGAGTTAAGGGGGTCAGAGAATCCCTTAACTGCAAAAGAAAAAAATAAAAAAAAATCTTGTTTCTCTCAGATTTCTACATCAGGGAATAAACTTCTGGGGGAAAAAAAAGGCAATGCTTTAAATCACTTAGGTGGGATTTTTTAAAATGGGAAGCCTTTAGAGGGTAACAGAACGCTTGTGGTCGATCACTGTCCGTTCTCCTTTCTCTATTTCACATGTGATTTGTAGACAATAAGGAAGATAGCTGCGCTGCTCCTCTGTGTAGGCATTGATGACATGATCAATGTCCTTGATCTTTGATCAAGGATCCTTGATCCTCTGCAAAATACTGCAAGTGAAATGCAAAGAAGCAGCAACATGGATTAGCCAATGAGATTATGCCCTTGTAGAAGGGTCATGAGAGATCAGGGACATGCCTACAGTGCATTTCTAAAGAAGACTGCCACAAAACCTTCAAAATGGTTTCTTAACAACATGCTAGCTAAGTCACTCACTGACAGGCTTAGCTTTACCCTTCTAATCTTCATAGCAGGAAAGAAAATATGACTGCAATTAATATTACTTGAGAAATGGAGAGGAAATCCAGAGAGACAGCAGGCTTTGCTGACAGCAGTGATTCAGGTGGGCAGCAGAGCTGGGATCAGAATTCAGCCTGACCTGAATGGAACTCCCCTGGCGAGCATTGCCTCAGGTGCAAGTGGGTTACACCTCCCTTTGCAGCTCTGAGTAAAACCACCATGAGTACATGTAAAAAACACATGCTTTTTTCAGTTCTTGGTCAACATTAACCACCAATGTAGACAATAAATATCCTTATCACTTTTGCAAATGAATCAGATTCCTCATTACATACAGTGTTAAAGTGCTGTCAAAGTCTATTCCTCCCATGCTGCTCCATACAGAATGGCACTCTGGCTATCTCACACTGAAAAGGAGATATTTTGGTAACAAATGAAATTGGGTGAACTGACTCGTGGCAAGGAGAAAGCCTTGCAGTTAGAGAAGAAAGCAAAATATTGCACAGTACAAGTAGTACTCAGATCTTGTCTCCTACGTATTTAGCAGTACAAATAGCTTCCAAGTTATGAAAGAGAGCAAAAAAGTCAATGTAAGAAAGAATATTTTTATCTCTTGTTCATATACATGTGCATAAAAAGAATGAGATACAACATGTCACCATGTAGTACAAAGTAAGTTGCAGTAGATTTTTCAGAGGAAACAGAGATCGGTATTATACCTACATTTGTATGAAAAGACCATGGAGGAACCAACTGTTTACATCATACATCATGCTTATCTTGACTCTTTATTTTCTTTTCAATGCACATAGTTTAAACTACTATGTATGTTGCTTTGAGTACTTTTCACTGGTCACGTTGGAAGGTAAACTTGCCCTGGAATTATTATCTTACTTCTAAATAGCACAAAGGAAAACAGATTTTTTTTCACTTTTAAAGCTGTGATGACCAATGTGATGGCTTTTTCTAAATTGCTGCTTCAATGGCTTACCTATTTCAAAATACATTTGATTATTTTTTTAAGTTTTGAAGCTCCTTACTTGCCAGTTGAAAATAAAGCAGACTGTGGGCTAAGGCAGGTGGCAGATGGACAGAGAGGACGAACTGCCATCCCTTAACAGGCTACACCCACGCTTGCTGGGGAATCAGTTTCCTCAAAGCACCGTCCTAATTTAGGTTAGCTGGCAGCAATTCAGTTTTGAAGATCTTATGATACTCAATGTTAGAAGAGTCAATAAGACATATTGATGTATCTCACACACCTCTAGAACAGCAAAAAATTTTACAGTACATGATAGATTAACAAAAAACTCCGTGAGAAATAACGACACTATTTTTCCCTCCTCACACATCTTATTCTTATGTTTTAAGCTACGTACATTCAGAGCTAGTGGAAAATCCCACAAAGTAATTTTTATTTTCACATGATAGCTGCATGAGATACTTAGTATGGTGGAAATACCATTTACTCAAGTCAAGTTTTCCTGCGGGGAAAGAAGGAAGAATGTCCAAGTAATCTCTTTTAAAGGAATAAGAATAAAAGTAAACAGGGTGGAGTTTTGAGTGATGAAAGATGGAGATTCCCAAGGGGTATTGTAATTGATGCTATCTACAACAGCAGCAATAAATAGAGCTTATTCTTCCACATCATAAACTATTTGACTAGACAGCTGGGAAAGAAAGTTTCTTGTGCATATGTGCCCTTTATCCAAGGAAGTGCTCATAGTTCTTGTGGGACTTGACTGCACAGTTTTCACACAGGCAGGAAAACAGGGGAGTGAACTGAAGGACCACGAGGCTGGGCCATAAACACCACTGCTGAACGGGGAATACTTTGGTTTTGTCTGCCACTGAAAGCCCTGAAAGACACCTTCTTCATTGGCTCACTCTTTGTCCTTTCCAAGGGAGGCTTCATTCAGCTGGTGTCAGGCTGGGGTGACAGTCTAGCAAAGGGCAATTGCAAATTTAAAAACTGACAAATAAAACACCAGGTCACACGTGACAAAATTCAACTGCCACTGTCCTGTTAGCATAAAAGAATGCAGAGTGCTGGGCCTTCAACAGCATTAGCCACTATGAACAAACAAAATGCATGACTTCTCTTAGACACCTATCCTGCAGTAAAGCTGGAACAACTAAATTATAATTATTTGCCAATGGCAGTTTTTGAACTACTAGCAAGATCAATATTTTAGGGGTTTCTGTCTGTCCAGTTAGAGGGCAGAAGCTACAGGCACTTTTAGTGAGTTACTCATTTCTCTGTACTCAGTGTGGTTGCTGGCTGTAAATAACTGTTTCCATATTAAGGGAAAGGCACAGTGTATCCCAGAAACCTTCTGGGATTTACAGAGACTCATCGCAACAGTATTCACTTGGCTATCAGAATGAGTTATGGGAGCTGCCCTACACTCCTGTAGTGAAAGCTGCCTCAACTTTACAAGAAAATAAGACATATTAGCTAAATTAAAAAAAAAAAAAAAAAAAAAGAAAGAAAGCACT